CCCCGTACCAGCTTTCTCAGGGTGATCCCTGTGGCCAAACCCAAAGAATAAGCAGCCTGGTGTTCTTTTCAGAAGCACCATCTGCTTTCCTGAGTCTAAGCATTACAGAACTATAAGGTAATGTACACCCACATGCTTTAACCTACAAGCTAACACAAAACTCAGAACTAATCCCCATAGCATTTTCTTGCCCCTCCTGCCATTCCTTAGTGTTTTCTTTAAAAGAGATCTGGAACAAAATCTTTCTGTGACACCATGTATTCATTCGTTAAAGACCGTGATCTCTTAACAACTGTAGATGAAACACTTGAAGTTTAAGCCACTTGAGTAACCCTGAAGATCCATGACATGTATTCAGTTATAATTTTGGCATGATTATTATCAATGCATGATTCTACAGGCAGGGCTGGAGGCCATTTAACCTATGAAGATGTTCAGAAATAGGGTGAGATATAATATGGGTGGAGGAAACTAAGGATGGCCTGAGCCTGCATATGGGGCTGAGAGCCAGCCAGCATCTGTGGTGTTAAAACAGGGTGAAGAGGGAGAAGCCTGTGAAAATTAAAAGCCTTACAAGTCAGGCAAGGCAGGGGAGATGGGAAGTCATAGGAACAAAGCATCTGTATCTTAGAATAATGGCTTGATTATTTAAGTCACTTACATTACAAAATTATCCTTGACTGTATTTTGTGGGAGAAAGTTATATGTTCAAGTTGGGTAAAAGTAAAAGTCACAGGACATAATCCACAATATTAGCAAAGATCTACTATGTGGCTTACCCTGATCCTTTGGAAGCAAATAGTACACTGCAATAAATGCCTTGATGGCAGCATGGACTTGTTCACAGAACTTCTGGGTTTCCTATGAAAAAGGAAACAGATTAGATCAAAGTGGTCAACCCTTCTACTGTGGAATACAGCAGATATTTCTTTTCTTTTTCTTTCTTTCGAGACAGAGTCTTGCTCTGTCACCCAGGCTGGAGTGCAATGGCACAGTCTCAACTCACTGCAACCTCCACCTCCCAGGTTCAAGCAATTCTTCTGCCTCAGTCTCCCAAGTAGCTGGGATTACAGGTGCCCACCACCACACCCGGTTAATTTTTTGTATTTTTAGTAGAGATGGGGTTTTGCCATGTTGGCCACATTGGTCTTGAACTCCTGACCTCAGGCGATCCACCTCCCTCGGCCTCCCAAAGTGCTGAGATTACAGGTGTAAGCCACTGCGTCCGGCCTAAGGCAGATATTTCTACAGCATCATCAAACATTTTCTGAAGTCCTGGTATGAAGGTAGGCCTTCTGCTGTACTCATCACATACCAGAGAGGAGTTAGCTATATAGTAGACATTGGGCTGACAACTCGATAAACCATTAAGAAACAGCAGGAAAAAACTTATTCCTGATACACTGTATCCCAAGCTATTCATGATATCTTAGACCAGGAGTTGGCAAACTGGTCCTCAGGCCAACTCAGGCCCCACTGCCTGTTTTTGTAAATAAAGTGTATTGGGACACAGTCATACTCATTGGTTTAAATGTCTGTAGTTGTGTTTGCTCTATAAAGGCAGAGTTGGGGAGTTGGGTAGTTGGCTACAAAATCTAAAATGTTTACTAACTGGCCCTTTACAGAAAAGAGAGGGAGAGAGACAGACAGACAGACAGACCGACTGATAGACCATGGTTATTAGATCACTAACCAGGTCTCTCTCTCTTAACAGAATCACAATATGTAACTAAAGGTAACTAGCATGGACTCAACAATGCTTGATGTTAACTATTTTCCTTCTAGGTGGTCACTGGCTTTCTCATCTTCCTTGTCCTCAATTGACTTAAATTCTAAGTCAATACTATACAAATGTGGTCCAGGTTGGAGCCAGTCTACAAACTGTGACCAGTCAGGGATAAGATAAGGACAGTGACTGAGAGTGTTTAGAAACTTTTATGGTAATTTGACATTTATTCAACATCCAAGCACATAATTTTATTAAAGTATCATTCCATGCAGATTGGAATTTTAAAAAAACAAAAAAAAAACCACCCATCTTTTAGTAGGACTAAAGTGGTGAGATCTCAAGAAGGCAATGATGATTCACGTGTATGTATGTGTATATATACACACATATATACATATATGTATTTATTTGAATATATGTATATACTTGAATATTTGTATATATTTCAAATAAATCCAAATTCTAATTTTTCATCTATGAGTGAAACTACTGTCCTGAGCATGTATAGAAAATCAGTTCTATGCTGCCTCCTTGTGGTATCTTACTTGCAGTGAGTTTTAGCAGCAAGTCCTAAGTGTATTTGAAAGAAAGGGGTTAGCAGATAAGAAAAATAAGATAATATTAACTATTCTTTTTGAAATAGTCTATTTTCCATGAATCTTTTAAAGTGCCGTCATACAATTCATCTCTTGTTTCCTCATCACAAATCTCAAAGGTAGGCCAGGCACGGTGGCTCATGCCTGTAATCCCTACACTTTGGGAGGTCAAGGTAGGCAGATCACTTGAGGTCAGGAGTTCGAGACTAGCCTGCCCAACACGGTGAAACCCCGTCTCAACTAAAAATACAAAAATTAGCCAGGCATGGTGGCGGGTGCCTGTAATTCCAGCTACTCGAGAGGCTGAGGCAGGAGGACTGCTCGAACCGCACAGGCAGAGGATGCGGTGAGCCGAGACTGTGCCACTGCACTTCAGCCTGAGTGACAGAGTGAGACTTTGCCTCAAAAAAAAAAAATCTCAAAGGTATGTGAGGAGGAGAGAGTTTATCACTGTAGGTACATGCAGCAGAAGATACCTATATTCTTTCCAAACACCTATATATGTAGACTGAGAAATTAAAACTATTGACTATGAAAATCAAATAAGGCAATGAATATGCCATTTTAAAAGAATCTTACTCCCATATTAAGGATACACAGCTCTAGAAAAAACTAAGCATAGAGCATACGTGGTCACAGCCAACATGTTTACTTTCATTAGTTTAATAATAAAGGAATATTTAAAACGCATAAATTCTTTGTTCTAGCAATTCCACTTCTGGGAATTTTTTCTACTGATATACATACATACACAGAATTACGTAATTCATCACAACACTGTTTGCAGTAATTCTAAGTTGGAAACAGCTTAAATGTCCACATAGAGTATGGTTAAATTATGTTTATATCTAGTCTATTGAATACCATGCAGTCATTACAAAGAACGGAACAACTTTATACTAGCTGCTAAGAGTTGATTTCTAAGCTCTATTGTTAATTTATTTAAAGGAAGGTCCAGAACAGTGTTTATGGTATCTTACCATTTGTGTAAAAAGAAGCTGACACATACAAGATAAATGTTTATGAATGTATATATGTACAGAATGTATGTGGAATAATGCAAAAGGAACTGGGGGAGACAAAAATGAGAAAGTGGATGGAACGATAAACTTAACACACTTAACTTTGATATCTTTTGAATTTTATACTATCTGCATAGGTTACTGATTAAATATAAAAAATAATATAAAAAGGGTATTATGTAGTATAACAGAATAGGTGTACCTTAGACATCAGATAGACCTTGATTTAAATTCTAGCTCCCCTGCTTTTTTTTAAATCTTAACCTGAGCTTCTGAGCCTGCTTGCTTATCTGTCAGATGGCCATCAAGTATGTGAAAACACCCAGCACATAAAAAGTGCTTAAAAAATTATCAGAAAAGAAACCACCAGGGTGAACTTCAGATTGAACCAATATTTATAAGACCTGCCTACTCCGCGCCAGGAAATGCACTTGGCAGTTCGGTCTTCACAACAAGCCTGTGAAGTAAAAAACGGTAACCTCATTGGACAGACGAAGAAAACAAATCTCCTGGCATGCGTGTAAAAGGTGGAAAGAAAATTAGAGGATTCCTAAGGTGTAACTCGGCAGCCCAAGGATTCCAGGAAAGTGAAGCCCACCTGTGGAGACGGCAGTGGAAGCTGAGAGAAGACTGTGGTCAGAGTCGTGGCTTCCCTTGACACTGTCACAGCTGCCTCATCTGGGGGGTGGCCGAAGAGAAGGCAGGTGCCAATACATTAGCGCTGCACGGACTTGGAAGATACGCGTTCCCTTACCGACCCAGACTTCTCAAAAACACCTCCCGAATGTCGATGTTAGAATTCTAGTTTACCCTCTCAGGTGCTGAGGTGGGTAAGGTATCTCACAGAAAGGATGCAGCAGGGGAGGGCAGTCCCCTCCCTGGGGGAGAGCGAGAGGGAAACGGGTCGGGACGCTGAAGGAACTGAGGCAAGGGGAGCCGGGACAGGAGGCGCACTCACTGAGTCTTCTCCAGAACATCTCTCGATTAAACTCCTCGGTGGTCTCCTGGGCTTCGCCGACTTGCGGGTGTGGCGTGTGGGGGCCGAATGGTGGCGAGTGGAAAAGCTAAGGTAAGCGGACCTACCTCCCTCGCCCGAGCCTGGCTCCCCGCCGCCGCCGCCCCAGCCCGCCCTCTCCGCGACCCCGAGCCCGGCCTCTCCCCGATCCCGGCCTCTCCCCGAGCCCGCCCCTGCCGTCGCGCGTTCCAACTCCGTCAGCTCACCCCGCACTCGAGGCAGGAGCAACCGCAGCTCCTCCGCCAAGTGCCGGAGCTGCTGCAAAGGTGGAGCCAGGGTGGGGGCTGCGGCTGCAGGTGCAGTTGCGCTCGCCATCTCAGTCGCTTGCCGAAGGCCGCAAACACAGGCCTCCGCCACCACTGCCGGAGCCGCACTGCGACAGCCGCTCCACTTCCGGGCCACAGCGTCAATGGCTCGTTTCCGGCAACAAGCCGTCCAGCCCCGCCCCAGAGCCCCGGCCCCGCCCCCAGAGGTCCAGCACCACCCATCCCATTATGAGAGACCAGGCCTGGCCCCGCCTCCTCCCGCCCCGCCCTGTCCCCAGAGGTCCAGCACCAACCATCCCAGAGGCCAGGACAGGCCACGCCTTCTCTCGCCCCTTAAGCGAGGCCACACGAGCAAGGCTCAGGCTCACGGTCTTTCTTATTCATCATTCATTCATTTATTTGATTAGTTGAAAACACTTCCGACTAAGGAAGCAGAGAGCCCACAATCCTGCGGGAAAACAGGCCTGGGAACTAATATCTCAGCCGTGGTCAGGGTCGGGCCCAGATCCTCAAAGGTTCCCTGCCCTTGAAATTGCACCTTTGACAGCTGCTGAATTTCAAGCACAGCGGTAGGTGCTTTACATGGGGTAACCCCTAAAAAACACACTGGGCCTCAGACACTCCCGTACACACACCCAACCCCTACCCTGTGGGTGTCCTAGATAAGGGTTTTCTCTTCACAAAGATAAATCAACTCTTTGCCTCCTTGAGGAGGAAAGGAATAAAGGCATTATTTTTGAGACTTTTCTGCAGTCCATTCTGCAGGTATCAGTAGTGGGTAATCCCTCCAACATCCAGGAGTCCAAACGAGCAGCAGCTCCCTAAAGCTCACGCACCAATACTGGCCCTCCACCTGCTACTGGGGTAGAGGCCTAGGCTACAGACACAGAGGCTGGGCTTCTGCCCAGCTGCCAGTGGTGAGACATGGCCTTCAGGAGCTCAGGTGGCTTTTTAAGTGCACCATGAAGATTCCAAGCTTGGCGGAGTTCAGTGTCCACACACAACGAATGAGAACAGGTGTCAGCAGTGTCAACCAGGTCCGCAAAGGGGAGAATAAAAAAGCTAGGGTGCCGTATGTCGCATAAAGAAAGTAGCAGGAATAAATCTGCCAGATGTACAGCAGTAGCATAAGTAGGTGAACAGGCATAATTTTCAAGTATTTTCTTTGATGGAGATGAGACCTGAAGTTGTGACCAAAGCACCGCTGCAGCAAGCTCCAACACATGTAAGCCATCAAGGGGATGTTAAAAAATGCCAGCTGGAAAAGAACAGAGCCATAGCTTACTCCCAAGTCCTTGGAAGAGTTTGGTCTTAATAATGCATCATTAGTGGATCCTAAGAATATGCTGCTTTCTGTCTGGGGTTAGCTAATTTACTTCAAGCACAGTTGCTTATAACACAACAGCTGACTTGTGGCTAGTTGTGTATTTGCCCATGTCCTTTTATTCATCTTAGAGGCGGGTATCATTTAATTTATGTTGAAGTCCCAACTTGTAGTACAGTATCATATACACAGTTAATACCCAGTGGTGTTAAGCTGGAATTGAACTGAGTAAATGTATACACACACATACAACAACCCCTCTTTTTTGGTGGAGTGAGGGGAGCGCTTGGCTGTCAGTATTTTTTTTCTTATCTCCATTTTTGTTTGAGGTAGCGTGACTAAGTACTGGAATATAAATTAGAAGATCTAAATTATAATCCACGTTGAGCTGCTGTATGATTCATTCATTTAACAAATATTTATTGAGCACCCGTTATGTGGCAGGCATGAGCTAGGCTCCAAGACACAATGGCAAACAAGTTAGAAAAGGTCTGTCATAGAGCTAACGTTCTAACAGGGAGAAGACAAAGACCAAAAAAAAACCAAAAAATATAATTACAGATTGTGATTAGTTCAATGAAGGAAAGAACTGGGTCATAAGAAGATAACGGGAGAAAGGCTCTCAGAGGCCAGGACAGGAATAAATTAGCAGAGGGAAGTGCGTTCCAGGCAGAAGGAACAAATGAAAAGCCCAGAGATGGGAGAGGTCTTGGCCTCTTTAAGGAAGTGCATGCAGAGCATAAGCCAGGTGGGAATTGGCAGTCGGCAGGACCCAGATCACTGCTCTGCTTCAAAGCATTTCAAGCTGAAAAGTAAGTAAGCTGACTGTAAAGTTTTTAAAAGAGCACATTGGATGCTCGGTATTAAACTGAGAGCAAGCAGGCAAGAATATCAGGGAGAAGACCCAGGCAAGAAATAATTACAATTTAGATTAGGGTAACAGAAATAGAGAGAAGTGGATGGATTCAAGACATGCACTGGAAGCAGATCAAATAAGGTAGAGCTTGCTGGTGAAATAGATACAGGGTACGAAGGAAAGGGAATAATTGAGGATACATCTTGGAGAAATCAGGTGAATGGTAGAGTCATTTATTAAAACTGGAAAAACAGAGGAACAGGTTTGGGGTAGAAATAATGTTCCTAATTAGAGAGACATCATATGAAGTTGAGATGCCTGTTAGACATCTGTGGCCATTGGATATAGAGGCACTTGAAGTGCAGAGAAGAGGTCGAGATCAGAGATACAGATTTGGGAGTCATGGGTCTGGATGATACATAAAATCCATTATTAGTGTACTATTTATTAGAATATGAACGTAAACATTTACAAAGGAAAAAACCCTGCCTTTTGGTAAGGCTCAGGATTCATTTGGTATGAGAGAGTTCCTTAGAGACAGCCTCCATCTACATAATAGAAAACTGAAATGAGGCTGGGCACAGTGGCTCACGCCTGTAATCCCAGCACTTTGGGAGGCCAACACAGGCGGATCACCTGAGGTCAGGAATTAGAGGCCAGCCTGGCCAACATGATGAAACCCCATCTCTACTAAAAACGCAAAAATTAGCTGGGCATGGTGGCACATGCCTGTAATCCCAGCTACACAGGAGGCTGAGGCAAGAAATGCATTGGAACCCAAGAGGCGGAGGCTGCAGTGAGCCGAGATTGCACCACTGTGCTCCAGCCTGGGCGACGGCGCAACGCTGTCTCGGGGAATAAAAAATATATTTTAGATGTTTACATGAGAGTGGTAGAAGTTTAGGAAGCACTTTAAAAGCAAATGAAGTTTTTATTAAAGACTCCCCTGCAAGTAAAGTAGGAAAGATGATCTATGGTACTTAATTTTGGATTTTGGATTTAATTCATAACTGTTATGCAATTAGTCCGACAAGGCCAAGATGTTCTTAAATTGCCTTTCTGACTTCTTACCTGGAGAATTCCAATTATAAATGTTATGCTGCCTTGTAGGAAATGTCCATTAACAAATATCCCAAAGGAAAAGCAGCAACCCAATTTGCCATCAATGATTTCACCAAAAAACCATGGACCTAAAAGAGGCAATGGACAAAAAAGGAGGAGATTAAATAACTATAACTCTGATTACATATATCATGAGATGCATTTATAGGAATAATGCAAATATATGAGACTAGCCATCTATCAGTATTTTATTTCATAGCCTTTCCTCGTTGTTAATCTCTATGTTGTACTCGATATCCTTGCTAACCAACTATTTGCTCCTTTACTCCATATTTTTTGGATTATGAAATTGTCTTAGTAGATACTATACCTGGAACAGATATGTGTCTTATAGATTCTAGAAACAAAAAAAAAGGCACACTCACATTTTTTAAAATTCCGTTGCAATAATAACCTCAATACAATGCATTAATATTTCCTTTAAGAGGTAAAGAGGTATTCCACAGAAGTTAAATTTCCAGATGATTGAGAATTACTCCTTAAAGCAAAAAAAACTTCAACTACCTTTTGAAAGAAATCTTTCTAAGATGCACTCATTAATATAATGAATGTATTTTAACCTCTTCTTGAAGGCCCACAGTCATTACTTTGTGTATCAACTATATAATCACAGTTACCATGTAGAAAGTTGAACTTGCTTCAGTTTTCTCATCTAGAATGCCATGCTGACTTTTCTCTCCTCTCTATTATTATTTACTGCCCCCTTCTCAGTGTGTGAGTTTCTAGGTATTATTATTATTATTAATATTGTCATTTTGTTTTGTAAGTGTGCTGGTTTATATAAGAGTATCAAGTGTTTGTCAAGAGTGATAAGGGACAGTTAGACTAGCCTTCTCAAAATGCAAATACTAGGCCAGGCAGGGTGGCTCATGCCTGTAATCCCAGCACTTTGGGAGGCCAAGGCGGGTCGATCACCTGAGGTCAGGAGTTCAAGACCAGACTGGCCAACATGGTGAAATCCTGTCTCTACTAAAAATACAAAAATTAGCCAAGTGTGGTGGAACACACCTGTAATGCCAGCTACTTGGGAGGCTGAGGTAGGAGAATGGCTTGAACCTGGGAGGCAGAGGCTGCAGTGAGCCAAGATTGTACCACTGCACTCTAGCCTGGGCAACAAAGCGAGACTATATCTCAAAAAAAAAAAAAAAAAAATGCAAATACCATCATTTGCTGGCACGAATAGGGTTCAGCTTTAAAAAGTCAGAGGCAATTTTCTCAGATATTCTTTATATAAACTGCATTAAAGACACATGAGTCTAAAAAGGTGCTTTCTCTTCAGGTTTCAACTTTTTGAATGGAACAATTCTTCCCTATTAATGTATTTTGTTTTGTTTTGTTTTACAGCCCAGGAACCAAATTACTTGCTTTACTTCATTGTGTAAGACAAGCGTCAAAAACAGCTTCAACCTATCTTGTAAAAAGAGAACTTACCTCCAGAGGTGATCTGCCATAGCTTACACAGAATCATAAAGTGTTATATTTTCATTTGTTCTCTGGTGGGAGTTACTAATGAGCAAAGTTTAAAGGGAGGATAAAAGTGTAAAAGACTAAGACTAGGCAACAAACAGGCTAATATACTCCTAATTGATTTTTAGTCACTAAGAAACATGAGCACAAAAGTCTAAAAGAGATTTATGGGGATTTCTGCTTTTAATAACTGTGGCTAAGTGACTGTGTAAGTACAGTCATGCATTGCTTAACCATGGGGATGCATTCTGAGAGATGTGTCCTTAGGCAATTTTGTCCTTATATGTCATACACAAACCTACATGATGTAGTCTACTATATACCTCCAAATCCACTATAGTCTTATGGGACTGCCACTGTATATGGGGTCCCTTGTTGACTGAAATGTTGTCATATGCCACATGATAGTACTGGGTATAATAATACAACAGAAGAGTGCAGATATGCCTGAACTATTGCTCATCTCAGCTTCTCTTTTTTGACCTGAATTTTTGAGAGCCACACATTAGTAAATATTCAATGAACTACATACTAAGCAAAATAGGCAAAATACCAATGGATAGATATATATACTTTTTTTTTTTTTTTTTTGAGATGGCATCTTGCTGTGTAGCCCAGGCTGGATTTGACCTCCTGGGCTCAAGCAGTCCTCTCGCCTCAGCCCCCGAGTAGCTGGAACTACAGGCATGAGTGTACCCACCTACCAGTGAATATTTTAATGAGGAAATAGATAATAAACCCAGAAGATAAGCATAAATTCTGATAAAGGTAATGATGGAAATAAAACGTGTGATGAGATACAGACTAAAACTTTAAGATAGACAAAGGTTTCTCTAAGGAGGTGCTATTTCAGCTTCTATTAGGTTTCTACACAAATACTAATTCTGTAGCAGTCTTCTCAGCACCCTTAAGTTAACTTGGTGTTAACTAAATGTCCTTTAAACATGTTAGGCACGAGCTTTATTTTCCAAAACCGTGTCCCAGAAAATGATTTATGAAGAATCCATGAGAGCCGTTTGTTATACCCTCAAGAGTCTAATTCTGTTGTCAAAATTGTTAATATCTTTGGCAAAATTCCCCACAATATGTACTGATTTACTTACCCAGCACTGTATATAGTGTCAACAACAACACAGAATAGTAGAAGATGTTTATTTTGCTCAAGACATGAAGAGAAAATGAGGTCAGATTTATAAACCCTGAAGGTTCTAAAAAACATAAAGTTGAAAAATTCAGTGAACACATGCAAAGTTCAGTTTCTTTATGACATTTTCTAGAAGACTTTCATGGGCTATCTGCCATATATTCAGCAAATCCTTTGTTAGATGGTAACTATAAAGATGACACCACTTTAAATTCAGAATTTGGCAGGAATCCTGGTGAGACAGTTCACTTAGAATTGCAGAAGGCAGAGTTCGAAGAAATGGTGTAGTTGTGAGACATTTTATATATATCATAAGATATATAATTGTTATATTTATATATATCACAATATATCAAACTCATATATGTGCACATATATGTACATATACATACATACATAGATATATATAATAACCAAAAACAATGGACACACCTACCAGAGCAGCATACCATTTTATCTTGTCTTTTTTTTTTTTTCTTCCTTTTTGTGGAGAACGGGGGTCTTGCTATATTGCCCAGGCAGGTCTTGAACTCTTGGGCTCAAGCTATCCTCCCGCCTCTGCCTCCCTGAGAGCTAGGTTTGAAAGATAGTGGTTTGTTCAAAGGATGATCAAGTCTCTGCTTTCTATGGAATTCAGTGTCCAAATATACAAACTTTAAAAAGGTGTATCAAAGTATTTCAAAAGTAAATTAAAAGAAATATCAAAATATCTTCATTCTAATCATAGATATGAGTATCTGTCCAAATATAGTCCTTTCCTGTACTTTATACAGTTCTTAACTCATAGCTAACCTCTTACTCCAATTGAAAGGTTTCCCTAAACTTTCCAAATTAGCATGATTTTAAAATACAGTGACAAAAAGCCCAAGTGTAAGGGCTTGACTCAGAGAAGCTCCATTCTGCAGCCACAGTCTACAGTACCACGGATCCTCAGCCCCAGCCAGCCATGTCACCCATGCATGTGGCTGATCATAAACCAGTCAGCTGAGGACTATGAAAGGAAGCTCAGTATACACTAAGCAACACTACTGGTAAAAAATATTTAAAGGACTAGTCCCAATGAAAGACAGTCCAATGTAAGTTAAATAAGTCATGTCTTTGCTAAAAGGCCAGCACATTCATTTTACACTTATAACCTTGCTCAGCCTAACAATTTTATGCAAAGCCTAATAATGCATGACCTTTCCTACTTTGTGTGTTACTCTCTCAGCTTCTTTTTTGTCCTAGTCTGTACTTCTCAAAGTATTAGCCTACATATTCAGATAGAATAACAATTATTTATTATTTTAAGAAATCCTTTAGCCTTAGAGGCAGCTATTCTTTAAATTTTAAGTAATTATTCTCCATTTTGGCTGCACATTAGAATAACCTAGGGAACTTTTAGAAAATACTCATGCTTATATCTCACCCTCCAGAGATTCTGATTTAATTTTCCTGGGGTAGAGGGAGACCTTAGGCAGCAACTCAGTGATTCTAAGCAGTCAGGATTGAGAAATACTGCTTTCGACAGAGCCGTGCTTCTCAGTCTTGACTGTACATTGGAATCATCCGGGGAGCTTTAAAAGGTACTGACGCTTAGGTCCCACCCTAGAGACTCTGATGTAATTGGTATAGAATGCTGTCGTAGGTACTGAAATTTCAGAAGTTCCCCCAGTGGATTCTAAGGTACAACCAAAGTTGAAAAGTCTTATTTAGAGGAAAGAACTGACCTGGGGTCAGAAGCCTTGGGTTTGGAGTCTCTCCTCTATCTCTTATTAGCTATCAAACCTTGGACAATTTACATAACCTCCCCAAACCTTTGTTTTCTAATCTTTAAAATGGGGTCAATAGCACCTACCTCACAGGAATGTTTTAAGGATTAAGTGAAACAATGTAGGTTAAAATATGTTTCAAATTTAAATAACTATATAAAGATATTGAGAGCCCCATATAAGAGGCTGGGGACCTCAAATATTTATTTATTTACATTATGTTCAGGAAAATACACATGTATAATAATGCTTCTTGAACTTTTTCATAGAATTTTTAAAATAAATATAAGCAGAAAAACATTCCGTAGGATGTGTACTGTACCTATTCAGTTAATCATGTTACCGTTTAATCACTACTACAATACTCCCCTTCTCTATCATCAGTCCTTGATCCCAGGGATTTCATCCAAATTAAGAAGGAATCAGGAAAATTTGATTCAACAAGTATTTATTGTCTGTTATGTACAAATTCAGTGCTGGGGGCTGTGGGAAACAGAAGATAACTAGGAAGCAAGAGTGCCTACACTGAAGACGGGCACAGTGGCTCACACCTGTAATCCCAGCACTTTGGGAGTCTGAGGTGGGCGGATCCACCTGAGGTCAGGAGTTTGAGACCAGCCTAGCCAACATGGTGAAACCCCGTCACTACTTAAAAAAAAAAAACAAAAAAAACCCACAAAAATTAGCTGGGTGTGGTGGTGCATGTCTGTAGTACCAGCTACTTGGGAGGCTGAGGCAAGAGAATTGATTGAGAAGCCAGGTGGCAGAGATTGCAGTGAGCTGAGATCATACCACTGCACTCCAGCTTGGGGTTCACAGCGAGACTGTCAAAAAAAAAAAAAGAGTTCCTGCATTGAGGAACTTAATCTGGTTAAGGAGAAAATGTATATACATTCGAAGTGGTTATATAAAGCAAAGTGGCTATCTAATTAAGTATAGAATTAATTGTGAGAAAGGACTATAGGGATTCAGATAAGCAAAAGCTCATTATGGCCTGGAATGGCTGGAGAAAACGGTATGACAAAAGAGGTCTTAAGGTAAGCCTTACAGGAGGCTAAGATTTAGGTAAGTTTAGAAAAATATAAAGTAGGGATAATACTATGAGCAAAAGTACAGAAGCAGAAATGAGCACGGTATGTATAGGGAACAGTGAAAAAGTATCTAGGCTAAAATACAGGTAACTGGTTGAAGACATGGCTAGTTAAACAGGAATAGATTGTGGAAGATTTTTAATGTCTTGCAGAGATGTCTGACCTTTATTCAGTGCGTTCTGGAAAGTCACTAAAAGCTTTTGCATACAGAAGTGATCTGTGGATGCGATGCCATGAGAAGGATAATTGGCTAATAATTAAGAGGATGAATTAGATAGACAGACTGGATATAGGAGCAGGAATTAAGAGTCTATTCAGGAATCCAGAGAGGTGACACTGACATGGCACTGGTGACCTTTCAAAAGGAAAAGAAACATTTGAAGAAAGAATTAATGGGTTGTTTTGTTTTTTGTTTTGTTTTATTTTGTTTTTTGAGACAGAGTCTCACTCTTTTGCCCAGGCTGGAGTGCAGTGGCACAATCTTGGCTCACTGCAACCTCTGCCTCCCCAGTTCAAGTGATTCTCCTGCCTCAGCCTCCTGAGTAACTGGGATTACAGGCATGTGCCACCACACCCGGCTATTTTTCTTTTTTCTTTTTTTTTGACGGAGTCTTGTTCTGTCACCCAGGCTGGAGTGCAGTGGTGCGACCTTGGCTCACTGCAAGCTCTGCCTTCCATGCCTGGCTATTTTTTGTAATTTTAGTAGAGTCAAGGTTTCACCATGTTGGCCAGGGTGCTCTTGAACTCCTGACCTCAAGTGATCCACCCGCCTCGGCCTCCCAAAGTACTGGGATTACAGGCATGAGCCACTGCACCTGACCTGAATTAATGGGTTTTAATAATATGTTCCCATTAGGAATGAAGACTGATGATTACTAAAAAATGACTCGAGGCCGGGCGCGGTGGCTCAAGCCTGTAATCCCAGCACTTTGGGAGGCCGAGATGGGCGGATCACGAGGTCAGGAGATTGAGACCATCCTGGCTAACACGGTGAAACCCCGTCTCTACTAAAAAATACAAAAAAACTAGCCAGGCGAGGTGGCAGGCGCCTGTAGTCCCAACTACTCGGGAGGCTGAGGCAGGAGAATGGCGTAAACCCGGGAGGCGGAGCTTGCAGTGAGCCGAGATTGCGCCACTGCACTCCAGCCTGGGTGACACAGCGAGACTCCGTCTCAAAAAAAAAAAAAAAAAAAAAAAAGACTCGATTTTTAAGGTTAAAAACTGTAGTAAGGTCTTCCTGTAAGATCTTTATTTTTGATAGGCTATATGCTTTTAATTTTTTTAATATCAGTATGTTATATGTATATATTTTTCTATCAAAATACAGTGATTAACTCAAATGCCTGCAAGTTCATGTGACTTAAGTAAATCTTTCATAAATAACCTGACTTTAAATTTGTTGATAAAAATAGAAATGTCTTCAGAATTATCAGCATACATTTTTGCCTGGGTTTACTGATCAGATAGTTTTGCATTTGTCTGTGCTGGATGTTTTAAGCTGCCAGGATTTGACCAAAAGGTTACAAAACTATATATACAGCCTAAAATCAGAATGATCCTTGTGTAAGTCTTTGATAAGTAAAACTAATATAGTTGATTTAATGAAAATAGCTGTTTTCAGGTTTTGGCAAAATATTTATATAGTTAGCTTTAAGATTTTTACTTAGGTGAACACCCGAAATTCACATGCTGTAAAAATGATTAACAGAAAGATACCTTGACATAATGACTAACTCTATCTAATATCTTAGTTTTCATAAGTAATCTATGTGTAGTTAAAAAATAAATTCAATGAATGTAAATGTGATAAATTTATAAATTAACTTTTCATGTGATTTTAAATCCTAAAGTTACATTATATTAAATTAATTAATAAATACTCATGAAATGTCTGAGTCATTTCTAAGTAAGATAAAATGCTGAACATAAATTGCTAAACATTAGTATAAGTTTGTTCTTGGTTTCTTAAATTGTATAGAAAGATAAAACGTACTTGGGTCTATTAGTAAATAGTAAATTCCACATTCAAAAATTGTTCCATAAAAAAATTGTTTTAGAGATTATAAACTATATATTCATGAGATGTTAATATATAACAGTTCAAAACTACTTACTTCCTGAGTAACTTAAAGCTTAAGGTTACTAAAAATTCAAAGTTTTTATTAAGGCTGGGCATGGTGGCTCATGCCTGTAATCCCAGCACTTTGGGAGGCTGATGCAGGTGGATCATGAGGTCAGGAGATCAAGACCAACCTGGCTAACACGGTGAAACCCAGTCTCTACTAAAAATACAAAAAATTAGCCAGGTGCGGTGGCGGGCGCCTGTAGTCCCAGCTACTTGGGAGGCTGAGGCAGGAGAATGGCGTGAACCCAGGAGGCAGAGCTTGCAGTGAGCCAAGATTGCGCCATTGCACCCCAGCCTGGGCGACAGAGCCAGACTCCGTCTCAAAAAAGAAAAAAAAAAAAAGATTTTATTAATATGAAACCAATAATTTTTATATGAGAAAGAATTTTATGTGGTCTCAATATAAAGGAATAAAAAATTTTTAAGTAATTTTTTGTCTTAAGGTAAAATAACTAGTTATTCTAATATAAAAGGGGGGAAAATATAGGACAAAGACTAGAAGTTTAGGAGAATAATGGAAGGTCTAAGCAAGCTGTGGAAGGTTTATGAAGGATGGGTCCTGTAATGGAAGTTTTATATCATCAGGATGGTTGGAATTTGAAGGGAACTTTTTTTTTTTTTTTTAAGGACAGAGTCTCACTCTGTTGCCCAAGCTGGAGTGCAGCGACGTGATCTCGGCTCACTGCAACGTCTGCCTCCCGAGTTCAAGCAATTCTCATGCCTCAGCCTCCTGAGTAGCTAGAACTACAGGTGCGTGCCATCATGCCTGGCTAATTTTTGTATTTTTAGTAGAGACGAGGTTTCACCATGTCGGCCAGGCTGGTCTCAAACTCCTGATCTCCTGTGATCTGCCCACCTCGGCCTCCCACACCACAGTGGTGAGATTACAGGTGTGAGCCGCCACGCCCAGCCACAAGAGGTTTTGACTTAATTCTAAAATCTGTTTCTTTAAAATTTAATTTTCAAGCATCTTCTGAATGGCAGCTTTAAAGTTTATAGACCAATGTTTTCCTCCAATATAACTTGATTCTGTACTCTTTGCTTTTCTTGATGTTTCTGAATTGTCCACATAACCAGGAAATTTCCCATGCTTTTTCTAAAAGCCCTGTATTCCCCTGCTCAAGGTACTAGTTTTCTTGTTTATGTCCCTCTATAATATAGTGTATACATATAACCTTGGACGCATGCTCTTCCTATGTCTGACTATATTTAAGTATCTTTCCATCAGGTTTCACTTCCAGGTTATCTAAATAGGCTTTCCATAAGGAGCAGCAATCACACGTCAGGAAGGTTTTTTTTCTTTACTTTTTTGGGAGCTGAACTAAGAAACAAAGATTTTACATTTTATCAAGATAATTTCCTATGTTTCATATTATCCTTATTTTTTTTTTAATATTTCTTAGGAAAACTGAGCTTTGAAAGGTTTTTGTTTGTTTGTTTACAGCCACAGAACTTTCTGTATTGTTTTTGAAGTCTTTTAATTGTCACTCTGTTTAAGTGAGTGACTATTACTTCACGATGACATCTATTCTTATTCTGACCAAGTGTTTTAAACCTTTTGACATCTTTGGCATGCCTACCAACGATCAATTTATAAATTAAGTCTTTTTTGACCCTGAACTAATTTTGGGATGTCTCTTGGCCAAGGGGACCCCAAAGAAACCTTAAAAATTGAGTTCTCAGCCACGATAGAAAGGGAGGTTGGACATACCTTGTCATACTCCCTCCCTTTTAGAGTTTGGGCACAACAACAGACCACCATTAATGTTAAAATAGAGATCATAAGACTGACAAAACAGACTCTGTCACAACAAGATACCAAATTATAAACAAGATCTAATGCCTGCAGGACATCAATCTTGCTAAACAGGTCATTTTTCACCCAGTATATTGTGGCTGACATAACATCCTTATCTTAACGTAAACAGAAATTCCTTTCTGCTGACAAGTTTTAGACCGAGCCTCAGTCCTGTAACCAACTGCAAATTAAAGAATCTCTGAATCCCCGTATAACCTGTGAGCCCCGACTTCAAGATATCCCAACTTTTGGGGCCGAAGCAGTGCATACCTTCCGTGTATTGATCTATGTCTTTTCCTATAACTCCTGCCTCCATAAAATGTATAAATCCCGACTGTAATCCAACTGCCTCAGGACCATTTACTCAAGGCTTCTTGAGTTTGTGTTTTCCCTGGGCCATAGTCATTCATATTGGCTCAGAATAAACCTCTTTAAAATATTTTACGGAGTTTGGTTTTTCCATGAACAAGGCTTATAGGAATAAAAGGAACCATAACTAACCTTTAAGCTCTGGGTATCCTCGATATCTAAATGTAATGAGAATGGTGAGCTGGCTCAGCACAATTAGCACAAAAAGGATCCGGGCCTGCAGGGAAATAGATGTTAATGTGAAATAGATACATGGGTACACTTTCAGTTAAGATTTTTAAAGTGGCCTTATTAACAAAAATGGAAATGGCATCTGTGATACTGTGATAGAAGAAATACATATTTTGGTCTTTGTCCCCACTGGTCAGAGCTCCTAAAATCCTTGTAATTTTCTAAGTGATAGCAGTGATAGCAGCATATTATTATAACATTTGGAATTTGTCTCTGGTTCCTGAAACAGCTCTAGAGTGATAAAGTAAAAGGAATACCTATTGTTATTCATAACAAGCCCCTTTTGGAGGAGGTATAGCAAGATGGCCAAATAGAACCCTCCAGCAATCATCCACCCCTTCCCCGTCAGAACAGCAAACTGAACAACTATCCCCACAAGAAAGCACTTTCATAAGAACCAAAAATCAGATGAGTGATCACAGTACCTGGTTTTAACATCATATCAAGGAAAGAGGCACTAAAAAGGGTAGACAACACAGTACTTCATTGCCTACACCACCTTTCCCCCATTCTGTGGCAGAGATCATCTGGGCACTCATGGGAGAGCCCAAAATGACTGTGGGACTTTGTGTTGGAACTCAGTGCTGTCACAGGGGAACACAACACAGGGCAGAATTCTGCCAGCACCCACAGAGGGAGCATTTAAGCTGGCCCTTGCCAGAGGGGAATCCTCTGCCTCAGTGGTAGGAACCTGAGTTCCAGCTAGCTCCAGCGCCAGATGACTAAACAAATGCCCTGGGGTCCTGAATAAACTTGAAAGGCAGTCAAGTCACAAGGACTTCAGTGCTTGGGCAAATCTGGGTACTACGCTGGACTCAGAGCCAGTGGAAATGGAGTGCACGTGACCCTGTGAGACACCAGTTGTGGTGGCCAGGGGGGTACTTGTGTCACCCATCCCCCAACTCTCCAGACAGTACAGCTCCAGGAGAGACTCCTTCCTCTTGTGGAAAGAAGAGAGAAAAGTAAAGAGGACTTTGTTTTGCCACCTGGATACCAGCTCAGCCACAGTAAAATAAAGCACTGAGCAGATTCCTGAAGGCCCTGAGTCCAGGCCCTCACTCCTGGCTGGCATTTCTAGACTCAGCCTGGGCCAGAAGAGAACCTGCTGTGTTGAAGAGAAAGAACATGTCCTGGCAAGATTCACCATCTGCTGACTAAAGAGCCCCTGGGCCTTGAATAAACATCAGCAGTAGCCAAGCAGTAGTCACCACAGACCTTGGACAAGACCCAGTACTATGGTGAATTCAGGTGTGACCCAGAACGGTACAAACCGTGGTCACCTCTCCCACATATCCAGGCAGGCCAGCAAAGAGAGAGAGAGGTTCCTTCTGCTTGGGGAAAAGTGAGAAAAGAACACAAAAGACTGCCTGGTAATCAAGAGAATTCTCCCAGTTCTTACCCAAGCCCACCAAGCGCATGTAAGGCTGCAAGAGTTGTAGCATTACTGGGCTTGGGGTGCCCCCTTGTACAGATAGGGCTGCAGTGACCAAAGGCTTAGATCACAACCCTCAATTGTCTTTGAATACCTGGAAAGCCTCCTCAAGAAGGATGAGTACAAACAAGCCCAGACTACAAAAATTAGAATAAATACCTAACTCTTCAAGGCCCAGACATTGACAAACATCCACAAGCCTCAAGAACATCCAGGAAAACATGACCTCACCAAATGAACTAAATAAGGCACCAGTGATCATTCCTGGTGTGACAGAGATACGTGAACTTTCAAACAGAATTCAGAATAGCTGTTTTGAGGAAGCTCAATGAACTACATGAAAACACAGAAATGGAATTCAGATTCCTATCACAGAAATTTATTTATTTATTTATTTGTATTTTATCTATTTATTTTTTTGAGATGGAGTCTTGCTCTGTCACCCAGGCTGGAGTGCAGTGGCACAATCTTGGCTCACTACAAGCTCCGCCTCCTGGGTTCATGCCATTCTCCTGCCTCAGCCTCCCAAGTAGCTGGGATTACAGGCGCCCGCCTCCGCACCTGGTTACTTTTTGTATTTTTAGTAGAGACGGGGTTTCACCGTGCTAGCCAGGATGGTCTTGATCTCCTGACCTCGTGATCTGCCCACCTCAGCCTCCCAAAGTGCTGGGATTACAGGGGTGAGCCACCACACCCGGCCTCTTATCACAGAAATTTAATGAAGACATTACAATAATTTTTTAAAAATCAAGCAGAAATTCTGAAGCTGAAAGATTAAATTGGCAAACTGACAAATGCATCAGAGTTTCTCATGTGCAGAACTGATCAAGTAGAAGAAAGAATTAGTGAGCTTAAAGACCATCTATATGAAAATACACAGTCAGAGGAGAAAAAAAGGAAAAAAAAAAAAAAGAATGAAGCATACCTACAAGATCTAGAAAACAGCCTCAACAGGACAAATCTAAGAGTTATTTGCCTTAAAGAGGAGGTACAGAGAGAGATCAGAGTAGGAAGTTTATTCAAAAAAATAATAATAGAGAACTTTTTTAACCTAAAGAAATATATCAATATTCAGGTACAAGAAGGTCATAGAACACCAAGAAGTTTTAACCCAAATAAGACTACCTCATAGCATTTACTAACCAAATTCCCAAAGGTCAATGATAAGGAAAGGATCTTAAAAGCAACAAGAGAAAAGAAACAACATACAAAGGAGCTCCAACACGTCTGGCAGCAGACTTCTCAGTGGAAACCTTAAGCCTAGGAGAAAGTGGCCTGACACATTCAGAAGGAAAATAATTTTATCTTAGAATATTATGTCCAGCAAAAATATCCTTCAAACATGAAGAAGAAATAAAGACTTTCCCAAACAAACAAAAGCTGAGGGATTTCATCAACACCAGACCTGCCCTGTAAGAAATGCTAAAGGAAGTTCTTCAATCTGAAAGAAAAGGATGTTAATGAGCAATGAGAAGGCTGGGCACAGTGATTCACGCCTGTAATTCCAACATTTTGGGAGGCAGAGGCAGGGGGATTGCTTGAAGTCGGGAGTTCAAGACCAGCCTAGGCAACAAAGTAAGACCCCGTCTCTACAAAAAAAATGTAAAAATTAGCTGGTTGTACTGGCATGTGCCTATAGTCTCAGCTACTTGGGAGGACCCCATCAAAAAAAAAGTCAGTCTTTGCACTCCAGCCTGGGAAATAAGAGCAAAAATCTGTCTCCAAAAAAAAACATACATATATATGTGTGTATACATATATACATGTGTATATGTATGTGTATATATATATACACGTGTGTATAAGAGTGAAAAATAGAGTATCATAATGACAAATACAACGGTTATAATGGATATTATGATAAAAGAAAGATGTGTGGTTGATTTCACTTTATTTCTAAATTTTCCATGTTTTCTACATTGAGCACATATTATTGATGTGGGAAGAAATATTCTTTAAAAAGCCTTAACCCAAGTTAGCATAGTCCCTATAATTCCCTTAGTTATCCTGATTTTATAGCATCCTGATTTGATAGCATCCTTAGTTATAATTCCCTTAGATATCCTTAGTTATAATTCCCTTAGTTATCCTGGTTTTATAGCATCCCAAATGACTCATCCATGCCTCTGCTTCTTTAAATTCAAATCAAATCAACTTAAAAAGCATTTTATTCTTCTAGACAAATAACTAAACTTTAATTTTATAAGATTCAACTTTCGGCCGGGCGCGGTGGCTCAAGCCTGTAATCCCAGCACTTTGGGAGGCCGAGGCGGGTGGATCACGAGGTCAGGAGATCGAGACTATCCTGGCTAACATGGTGAAACCCCGTCTCTACTAAAAATACAAAAAACTAGCCGGGCGTGGTGGCGGGCGCCTGTAGTCTCAGCTACTTGGGAGGCTGAGGTGGGAGAATGGCGTGAACCCGGGAGGCGGAGCTTGCAGTGAGCCGAGATCACGCCACTGCACTCCAGCCTGGGAGACACAGCGAGACTCCGTCTCAAAAAAAAAAAAAAAAAAAAAAAAAAAAAAAAAAAAAAAAAAGATTCAACTTTCTTGTCATATGATCATAGTAGTCCCTCTTTATCCACAGGGGATACATTCTAAGTCCCCCCTCCAGTGGATGCCTGAAAACACAGATAGTACCAAACCCTATATATATTATGTTTTTTCCTATAAATACATACCTATGATAAAGTTTAATTTATAAATTAGGCACAGTAGATCAACAACAATAATAATAAAATAGAACAACTATAACAATATACTATAATAAAAGTTACAGAACTATGGTCTCTGTCTCTCAAAATATCTTATTATATATAATACTTTCAGACCATGGATGACCTTGGGTAACTGAAACGATGGAAAGTGAAACCATGGATAAGGAAGGACTACTGCATATTATTTAGGACTCTGCATTTACCAAATCCAGTAACATATGCAATGTTTAATTGAATTCACTTACCATGATGTAGTGATCAGTACGAAGAATAAATGATGCCAGGGGATCAAAACTAAGATGGTTATTCTCTTGAGCAGAAAATATGTGGTGAACACTCTTACTTCTTCCAGCAGAATCCTAGTAATAACCACAGAAGAAAAGTAACTTTCATGTACATGGAAATATTTATAATGTTCTAAATTATAATAAGAATAGGTTTCTAATAACTACACTTTGTTGTTGTTGTTGTTTTTCAAGGTTTCTGTCTGTTGTCCAGGCTGGCGTGCAGTGGTGCAATCATAGCTCACTGCAGCTTTCATCTCCTGTGGTCAAGTGATCTTTCTGATTCAGCTGCGAGACTATAGGCACACACCACTATGCTTGGCTAATATTTAAATTTAGTTTAGAGATGGGGTCTTGCTATGTTGCCCAAGCTGGTCTTGAACTCCTGGCCTCAAGCAATCTTCCTTCATTGGCCTCCCAAAGTGCTGGCCTTATAAGTACTTTTAATAATATTTCTTAGGCCAGGTGAGGTGGCTCATGCCTGTAATCCCAGCACTTTGGGAGGCAGAGGCAGGCGGATCACATGAGGCCAGGAATTCGAGACCAGCCTGGCCAACATAGTGAAACCCCATCTCTACTAAAAATGCAAAAAATGCCGGGCGCGGTGGCTCAAGCCTGTAATCCCAGCACTTTGGGAGGCCGAGACGGGCGGATCACGAGGTCGGGAGATCGAGACCATCCTGGCTAACATGGTGAAACCCCGTCTCTACTAAAAAATACAAAAAAATAGCCGGGCGAGGGGGCGGGCGCCTGTAGTCCCAGCTACTCAGGAGGCTGAGGCAGGAGAATGGCGTAAACCCGGGAGGCGGAGCTTGCAGTGAGCTGAGATCCGGCCACTGCACTCCAGCCTGGGCGGCAGAGCGAGACTCCGTCTCAAAAAAAAAAAAAAAAAAAAAAAGCAAAAAATTAGCCAGGCGTGGTGGTATGCACCTGTAATCCTAGCTACTCAGAGGGCTGAGGCAGGAGAATTGGTTGAACCCAGGAAGCACAGCTTGCAGTGAGCCAAGATTGCACCACTGCATTCCAGCCTGGGTGACAGAGTGAGACTCTGTCAAAAAAAGAAAAAAAGAAAAAATGTTCAAAACCTATAATTCTACATTTAAATAGGAAATATTAGCATGCACTCACAACCTATTTTCCCTTTAAAAAAAAAAAATCTGTATTTCCCTCTGTTCCCTAAAAAGGCCTAGAAATAACAACAAAGCTAACAGTAATGAGCTAGCTAGGCTGGTGCCCAGATTATGGTCTCAAAACAGCATTTCTCACTACAAGAAACCAGTGCTCTTTAGGGAAACAGCTCATTTCGGTTCTTGAATAGGAAGTGCACAAGAAGAGATACCTGCACTCCCGTGTTTGCTGCAGCACTGTTCAAAATAAGATTTGGAAGCAACCTAAGTGTCCATCAACAGATGAATGGATAAAGAAAATGAGGTATATATACATAATAGGGTACTATTCAGCCATTAAAAAAGAATAAGATCCTGTCTTTTACAACAACATGGATGGAACTGGAGATCACTATGGTAAGTAAAATAAGCCAGGGACAGAAAGACAAACATCACATGTTCTCACTTATGGGACCCAAATATCAAAACAATTGAACTCATGGACACAGAGAGTAGAAGGATGGTTACCAGAGGCTGGAAAGGGTAGTAAGGGGGCAGTGGGAGGGAGGTGGGGATGGTTAATCGGTACAAAAAACATAGATGGAAAGAACGAACAAGACCTACTATTTGATAGCACAACAGAGTGACTAGAGTCAATAACCTAATTGTACTTTTAAAAATAACTAAAAGAGGCCGGGCGCGTGGCTCAAGCCTGTAATCCCAGCACTTTGGGAGGCCGAGACAGGCGGATCACGAGGCCAGGAGATCGAGACCATCCTGGCTAACACAGTGAAACCCCGTCTCTACAAAAATACAAAAAACTAGACGGGCGAGGTGGTGGGCGCCTGTAGTCCCAGCTACTTGGGAGGCTGAGGCAGGAGAATGGCGTAAACCTGGGAGGCGGAGCTTGCAGTGAGCCGAGATCGCGCCACTGCACTCCAGCCTGGGCGACAGAGCAAGACTCCGTCTCAAAAATAAATAAATAAATAAATAAAAGAGTGTTATTGGACTGTTTGTAAAACAAGGACGAATGCTTGAGAGGATGACTACTCCATTTTCAATGATGTGATTATTATGCATTGCGTGCCTGTATCAAAACACCACATGTAACCCATAGATAAACACACCTACTATGTACTCACAGAAAGTAAAACTTTAAAAAAAAATTTAAAGAAAAAAGTGCATAAGAAAAGCTTGGAATATCTTATCAAACCAGAAAGTAAGAAAATGAACAAAGACTACTGGGATTGTGTCAAAGGGCTTAGTAGTCAACATGAAGAGGCTCCCACTAGCCAAAGGTGGAACAATTTGAGCATCGAAAAGAATAAATGCAATGGACTGAAATACATCAAGTATGTTTTCATACATCAATATATTTTTTAAACTTTGAATTTATAATAATACTAAATGTAAAAGACTCAGTCACCTTTGGCAGATACTAAAGAACCAACTCATCATTCTGAAAACTGGTTTAGTAAAGGGGCAGTGGGGAAAGAAGAATTTATCTTGCATTTCCTGTGTGAACTCTATATCTGGGTACCAAATAGATGAGATAATTTTTTTCTTAATAGGACTGTTCTAATTAATATTCCTATAATAAGAAAAGAAAAGTTGAATATCACCATTTTGGAACTCTAATGAAAAAAATGGATTTAGGTAAGTATCATCAATGCCTACTAAAAACCCTTAGGAGAAAAGCTAATGGAGGGATGAGCCAGCAGTGTGCTGGAGCTGGCTTGACTGCTCACAAGAGCCAACTGTTAAGTTTTCAGCAATTTTGCAGGCCACTTAGTATGGCATTGGTAGTTTAAAACCAGCCATGGTAGAAATATTTATATTATGAGAATTGGTACAAATCAGGGAAATGCTACATATCAGGATCCCCTCTCCTTGACCCCTGTAACTTGCCCCAAGCTGGTTGCTAAATATTTACCAGCACACCAGTGGATAAGGCTACCAAAAGCTGAATACACTGATCCATCTTAACATTACAGAAAAAGAGGCCGGGCGCGGTGGCTCAAGCCTGTAATCCCAGCACTTTGGGAGGCCGAGACGGGCAGATCACGAGGCCAGGAGATCGAGACCATCCTGGCTAACACAGTGAAACCCCGTCTCTACTAAAAAAATACAAAAAACTAGCCGGGCGAGGTGGCGGGCGCCTATAGTCCCAGCTACTCGGGAGGCTGAGGCAGGAGAATGACGTAAACCCGGGAGGCGGAGCTTGCAGTGAGCTGAGATCCGGCCACTGTACTCCAGCCCGGGCGACAGAGTGAGACTCCGTCTCAAAAAAAAAAAAAAAAAAAATTACAGAAAAAGAGACAACCAAATATTATGGGTATCCTGTTAAAAGCATAAAAAAACAGATAAAGTACTTTTGCCAAAAAATAGATGTAAATCTGATGAAACCTCTAAATCTAACTACCAATTATAGAAACTAAGGGGGAAGGGGACAGAGGAACATGTTAAATGATACCACAGGGATGTAAACAGCAAAAATCCAGAAAACAGGGAACTCCACAGGACCAAAGATTCAGTTTCCAAAACAAATAAATTTTAAGGGGGAAAAAAAGAAGGGGGAGGTAAGGGAGGCAATCTATACAGTAAAAGAGACAAAAGAGACAAGTCAGTTAAATGGAATGTATGAGTCTTGATTGGATTCCGATTTGAACCAACCAAATGAAAATGTACATATCTATTTATGTATATTTCTGTCTATCTATCTATGTGACATATTGGGATAACCAAACATTAGCTGGGTAGTTTGGTATTACAGAATTACTGTTAGTCTTCCAAGTATGATATGGTATCATGGTTAAGTTTTTTAAAAATAGTCCTTATCTTTTGATTGTTTTTGAGACAGAGTCTTCCTCTGTCGCCCAGGCCCGGCTACTTTTTGTATTTTTTAGTAGAGACGGGGTTTCACCGTGTTAGCCAGGTTGGTCTCTTATCTCCTGACCTCGTGATCTGCCCGCCTTGGCTTCCAAAGCGCTGGGATTACGGACGTGAGCCACCGTGCCCGGCCAAAATAGTCCTTATCTTTTACTGATACATATTGACATATTTACATATGAAATGACATTATTTTATGTATGAAATGACATCATTGTACAGGGAGGGAAGATAGGGATAAAGAAGGAACAAGACTGATCATGTGTTGATAATTGTTGAGATTGGCTGATGGATATATGGGAGTTCATTATAATATTATCTCTTTTGTATATTTAAAATTTTCCCATTATAAAAAACTTTTAAAATAACAATAAGAACTTACATTTGTGTTTTTTAAGCTTTGATTGCTCAAAATGTGCTTATATTATGTTATTGTTTTAAAGCAGGAATCTAGATTTCTCTAACATTTGAGATTAGAGCTTTCTAGGGTCTACTCTTTAAATTGGCAAAGTAGGCACAATAATCTTAAACTACAGGTACTCAAACTTCAGTGGACATCAGAATCACTTGGAGAGATTGTTAAACTAGATTGCTGGGTCCTATCTCCAAAGTTTCTGATTCAGTAGGTTTTGGATGGGACCTAAGAATTTCCATTTCTAACAAGTTCCCAGATAATATTGATGCCACTAGCCCAGGACCCACATTGAAAATTGATTTAAAGGTCTAGTTGCTACTAGACTGCAGGGAACCTATAGATAGTCAATAAATACAATGAGTAGGTAAAATATTAGATAATAAACACGTGTCTTCTCCCACAGACTTTGAGTTTCAAATCTGACTCATCTATAGTTTACTGTATTTAAAAGGACAGAACTTTCCCACGAACGAATGAGGGGACCAGGTTCCCTATTTAATACTCAGTAGGTTGTTTAAAGTTACACATATAAGAAAACAGAAAACAGATCAGTCCTTGCCTGAGATTGAGATGTAAGGAAAACAGATTACAAAGGATACAAGAAAACTTTTGAGGGGAATGTATCATATTGCTTGTAGGCGATGACTTCAAGGATGTATACATATGTCAAAATTCATCAAATTGTATACTTTAAATATACAGGATTTATTATGTTATTATGTAAAAATTTTACCTCCATACCTTTGTAAGAAATGTTAAAAGTATGTGATTTTACATTTTTACTAAGGATTCAACTAAGCAGTCAGAAATGTTTCAAGGAATGTAAGCTATGTTTTTTTTTCTTCATAAAGCTACAGAAGTTGTATGTATACCTTATTAAGAAAATAATACACTGGGGTTCTGAGGCACTCCAGACTGTAGTGACTGTAAAGACAGGCAATAATTTATTCTAGGTGCACATGAACCTTTAAGTCTCTTTAAAATGATCCAACTTCTTCTAATATGAGAGACCTTAAGGGTTCATCCCCAGCCATCTCTCCTACTTCTTCTGTAAGTTTTTTCGTCCTTCTACACAGAACATTTTAAAGATGGGTGGCGTAGCAGAGTGTCTTCTCTTGTGCAGACGTACAAGTTTCTCCATTTACAAACCAAGGGTAAAACTACCCACGACAAAGGATTGTTTTGCGGATTAAGTAAATAATTCTAAGTGCCTAGCATCTCCTTAGAGGGAGCTCAGTAAATAGTTTCTTCCTGCTCAACCTGTTTCTGTAGGGGGGATAAAAAAGATAATGAAAATAACTACATATGTTTTCTGAAAAATTATTTGGTGTTTCAAATTAAGTCTCAATATTAGAAGATTAAATAGTTAAAAACTGTCATCAAATCACAAAGTTGCAGAAATTGATAGTTGTGTGTGTGTGTGTCTGTGTGTGTGTGTGTGTCTGTGTGTGTGTGTGTGTGTGTTTAAGAAACTAATTTCTGAGCACAGCTTATCGTCTTAAGAATTTAATGAAACTGCTTTATTCTGGTAATGATTATTACTTTCTACTCTGGCAGGTGCTAATAAATTAAATGCCCTAAATTGAATCAGAATAAGAAAAGGCAAACTGGTACTGCATATGCTAACAATGCTTATTCCCCTTAACAAAAAAGTGCCTTTGATGCGCTGGAATTCTGTGTCCTCAAGCTTTCAAATAATGACACAATTGTCTTATAATTAGAGACAGCAATCAAAGACATGGAAACATAATACATGTTTTCTGACTTATTCTATTACCCTTGGGTATACTGGGGAATTTGCCCCTATTATGAAAAGATTCTGGGCAAAGTTGGAAGAAAACAAAATAATGATTTCCTGGGGTTAAAAAAAGGGAGTCTATGGCCACTCCTCTTCTCCTCTGCCTAGTTTTTAATCTAATATTAGAATTATTCCTGAGTGCCCATTTTCAGAATATACTAAATACATTGTATTCAATTTTTTTTTTTTGAGATAGGGTCTCGCTGTGTCACTCAGGCTAGAGTGCACTGGCACAATCAGAGCTCACTATAACCTTGAACTCCTGGGCTCAAGCGATCCTTCCATCTCAGCCTCCCAAGTAGCTAGGACTACAGATGCACGCCACCATGCCCAGCTAACTTTTATTTTTTTGTTGAGATGGGGTCTCACTATGTTGCCCTGGCTGGTCTCAAACTACTGGCCTCAAGCGATCCTCCAGCCTCAGCCCAAATTTTTTCACTTTTTTGTTTATTTTGAGACAGGGTCTGGCTCTGTTGCCCAGGCTGGAGTACAGTGGTACAATCTCAGCTCACTGCAATCTCTACCTCCTGGGCTCAAGTGGATTCTCCTGCCTCAGCCTCCTGAGTAGCTGAGACTACAGGCACATGCCACGTGCCCAGCCAATTTTTGTATTTTTTTGTAAAGATGGGGTTTCACTGTTTTGCCCAGGTTTGTCTCGAACTCCTGTGCTTAGGTGATCCACCTGCCTTGGCCTCCCAAAGTGCTGGGATTACAGGCGCGAGCCACCACGCCCGGCCCCCAATTTTTTTTTTAAACATAGCTTCATTACCAATTGACTAAAAAATTCCAAACCAGAATTCATTGTGGCTACGGCTTAATCATTTACATAGTAAATATAAATTACTAACTTACCTGGACGATTACTTCTATGTTATGTGTCCCACTACTGTAGTTGCTAGGATTCCACTTCAGTACGAAAATGGGACCAGACACATGAACAGCCTGGCCTAAATGAACTCCATCAATCTTAACTGTGACAGAAGTAATGGAGGATAAGGAAAAGGCCAAAACTCTAAAATGAGAGCATATATAAAACACATGGTTTGAGGTTTGTCATTGTTTTTGTAAAGGAGAAAAACCTTATTGTAACTTGCAAATATATACATATAGGCAGAACCATCATATTGTACAACTGCAGAAGCCACTATTTATATGATCTGGTTTCTTTCTGAATGGTGGCTTCTGGAGTTGGACAATTAGCAAAACTGAACTGGTAAGAAATTCGGAACTATTCTTTTACTTTTTAGAAAGAAAAATCAATTTTCTTTTGACAAATATAGGTAAGGTAGATTCAAAGTTCTTTCTGAAGAAACTCCAGAAGTATTGATTTTTCTCTTAGGAAAATAATATAGGGTAGAAATCTCATTTTGTTAATCTAATGTCAAGCCTACCATCTACTCATTTGGTACCAGGGTATCTGTCCCAAAGAAACAGGGTTATAACCAGGACTAGGCTACCAAGCCCTTTCAGAGAGTATGATACCTAAACCTGATACCCAGCTCCCACCAAAAAACCTAACTGACACGTGTGCGTTCCATTTCATTAGTGATTAAAAACAAAAGTAAACATCTTGGTATCATTTTTTACAAGTTAATTAGTAAATACTTTTTCAAGCATAATATCCAATAATAATAAGAGTACTGTGGGCTGGGCGCGGTGGCTCAAGCCTGTAATCCCAGCACTTTGGGAGGCCGAGACGGGTGGATCACGAGGTCAGGAGATCGAGACCATCCTGGCTAACATGGTGAAACCCCGTCTCCACTAAAAAATACAAAAAAAAAACTAGCCGGGCAAGGTGGCGGGCGCCTGTAGTCCCAGTTACTCGGGAGGCTGAGGCAGGAGAATGGCGTGAACCCGGGAGGCGGAGCTTGCTGTGAGCTGAGATCCGGCCACTGCACTCCAGCCTGGGCGACAGAGCGAGACTCTGTCTCAAAAAAAAAAAAAAAAAAAAAGAGTACTGTGAATTTGGCACTCATATTGCTTGGTAATATTATAAATTAGCATCTGTTGTTGAAAGTAATTGGATACCTGATACACTGCTGGTGGGAGTATAAAATGGTGCAGCCACCATGGAAAACAGTATGGCAGCTCCTTAAAAAATTAAACAGATAATTACCATATAATCCAGCAATTCCACTTCTGGATATATATCTAAAAGAAGTGACAGCAGGGACTTGAACAGATATCTGTACACCCATATTCATAGAAGCATTATTCAACATAGCCAAAAAGTAGAAGCAACCCAAGTGTCCGCTGAACACATAAACAAAATATGGTGTGTGTGTGTATATATGTGTGTGTGTGTATATATGTGTATGTGTGTATATATGTGTGTGTGTATATATACACAATGTGCAATGGAATATTATTCAGCCTTTAAAAGGAAGGAAATTCTGACACATGCCACAACATGTATAAACCTTGAGGACATCATGTTAAATGAAAATAAGCCAGTCACAAAAGTATAAATATTGAATGGTTCCACTTATATGAGTTAGCTAGAGTAGTCGAATTCATAGAGACAGAAAGTAGATTGGTGGCTGCCAGAGTCTGTGGGAGAGGGAAGAATGGGAAGTTATTGTTTAATGGGTAAAAATTTCAGTTTTAGAAAATGATAAATGTTCCAGAAATGGATAATGGTGATGGTTGCACAACAATGTAAACTTAAACTTAATGCTACTGAACTGTACACTTAAAAATGGTTAAAACGGTACATTTTATGCTATGTGTACTTTGTTTAATCATGCTTACCATGATTAAAAATAGTGATTTTAACTCCAAAAAAAAAAAGGGATTGGGCAATTTTTATCAATAGTCATAAAATAATTCAAACTCTTTCATCTGGAATCCCACTTCTAGAACACTTTCTTAAAGAAATTATTCAAGTGAAGGAAGAATATATATGTACCAGATATTCATCCACAAATAAGAAAAAACTTAAAAGTTCACCAGTGAGACATGAAAAAGGTTAGAAAAACTGTGGTACATTCTTTGTGTTGAAAGAAAACAAATCAGGATGAGAATAGACTGCTTTATGATTATAATTATACAAAAACATGCTTAAGAGAAGAATGCCTGAGAAGAAATACTCAGAAGTGTTAATAATAGTTCTGTTAGAAGTGGAGAAAATATACTTAAAATCCCATTACCCTGTTTTCCAAAGGTTGTTCTGTCATATTACTTTTCAAAATAAACTGTAAATGTATATTTTTAAAAATGCTCTTATACTTGAAAGAAGTTATATGTCTCTTTGCAAAAAGAATGTTAATGTCCCATTAGCATTCTATTAATCTATATACTCAAATTCACGGCCGGGCAAGGTGGTTCAAGCCTGTAATCCCAGCGCTTTGGGAGGCGGAGAAGGGTGGATCCCTTGAGGTCAGGAGTTCGAGACCAGCCTGGCCAACACAGTGAAACCCTCTCTCTGCTAAAAATACAAAAATTAGCCAGGTTTGGTGGCACACACCTGTAATCTCAGCTACTCCAGAGGCTGAGGCATGAGAAAAGCTTGAACTCGGGAGGCGGTGGTTGCAGTGAGCCAAGATCAGGCCACTGCACTCCAGCCCAGGCAACAAAGCAATACTCTGTTGAAATCAAAACAAAACAAAACAAATTCACTTGCCAACTGAATTTTCAATTCCATAAGGATTATATATGTATAGCTTTTGCTTTCTTAGAAGGCTACACAACAAAATGAAAACAAATTTGATATATAATGCAAATTTTAAAAAGTAGGCTATAAAGGAATGTGTACATTACGCTTATAGCAATGTAAAAGCATGCAAATAAAAAGGCTGGAATAAAATAAAACAAAAATAATAATGTTAGAATTACAGATTTCTGAATGGTTTTTAAAATTTTATCAGCTTAAAAACATGATCTGCTTTTTAACTTAATGGGAACAAAACACTAAGCAATCTATCTTTATATAATGTGTAGGTTGCTGTATAAACTAAAATGGGGCGTCTCATAGCTTTCATACAGGAATGCAATCACAATGACTTATCTTCCATCATTATCAAACTGAAAGGAAATTCTGAAAAATCGCTACATACCTGATGTGTGTTGAGTGAAGAAGTCTTTCTAGTGGTTCATGTTTACCAGAACTATAAAGGAGTGATTTAGGATTGGTGATAAGAACCACAGGCCACGTGCCAAAGATCAAATCTGCAAAGCTAAAGAGGTCATGATCAAAAGCAAAAATCCGATACCTAGAGACCAGATAATGATAAGGTAATTTAGTCACTTCACATTGTAAGAGGTCATGTAGGTAATATACAGAACAAATATAAAAATACATAACTAGGACTTTTTTACATGATGAATTTGAATACAGATTAAGTAATATTTTCTTTCTTTCCTCCCTTACCTGATCACTTTAGCCTTCACATTTGTCAGATAACTGGCCTCTGACTGGGCAATGGATTCAACTGTGCTCTTGAACAACACCTGGTACATGGCATGTACTCTTTAATTTTTAAATAAATACTTGTTGAAGTAATTCATCTTATCTCTGTACTATAAGACAACTTTGAAGCTAAAACATTTATTATAACCCTAATACCTGACATTCTTCATCCCATCAACAATGCTACATAAAATATTAAGTAGCTGGGATTACAGGTGCCCGCCACCATGCCTGGCTATTTTTAGTAGAGACAGGGTTTCACCATGTTGGGCAGGAGTCTGGAACTTCTGACCTCAGGTGATCCCCCCGCCTTGGCCTCCCAAAGTGCTGGGATTACAGGCGTAAGCCACTGCGCCTGGCCTTAAACATTTCTATAATTTCAAAGAAATTAAAGTTGTTTTCATTTTCCAAATGCAATAACAAAAGGTATAAAATATTCATTAAAGAATAACCAAAGTTTTATATTTTCTAACTTGTAGAATTAAAAAAAGAAATGATTCACTAAGGCAGAAACACTAGTGCTCACCAAATACTCTACACATTCCCCTGCATTTCCCAGTCTCCCTGGTATCAGGTTGGGACCATGTGACTAGTTTTGGCCAATATGCTGTGAACAGAAGTGACACATATCATGCCTGTGGTACAAAGTACTTAAGAGTGGGTGTGAGTTCTCCTTGCTGTCTTCCCTGCCCTGGAATTGGCATGTCGAAATAAGAATTTTAAGACGGACGAAGTCTGAATTACTGACTCACCCCATGGACAAGAGTTGTTCTGACTCACATTGAATTTACACAAATGAAAAACATTTGTGTTAAGCCACTGATATTTCTGGATTTATCTGCATCTACAATAAGGCCTAGCCTAATATAACCAATATACTGTTTTTAAAAATTCTTCTATTGTAACGAACACAATTTAAGTGTTTATAAGCGCAGGTAAAGTTTAGGTCCTTTCAGTAAACTCCAGATAAAACCCCAAGGTTGGAACACAGGAAAGCTGGTGAAGAGAGAAAGGAAATGGCTTCATAATTAACAACACAACTTGTAACTGGAGCACTTAGAAGAAATAAAGCAGCTGGTCAAGGCTTAGTAAGACTATCTCACAAAAGGCAATCATAGCCCAGCCCACAGCCTCACAGCCATGAACAGACAACTCTTAGCTCAAAGTAATTATAGTTGCCAAATAATTACAGGTTTCAAGCATAACTCATACAGTTTCTAAAAAGTCAACCAAAATGAGGAAGTACCTTCCAAGATGTAAAGTTCCTTTTTAATTAATGGAAGTAGTTAAAAACAAAAAGATAACATATTCAGCTCAACAAATCTTTGTTGAGTACCTATTATCTGAGAGCACAGCGTTTGTATAAATTAAATAACTGTAATTGTTAAATAATAAGATGATACTCCTCAAAACTTGATAAACTATTTCACTTAAATACTTCTTTTAAAAAAGAAAAAAAACATATATTTAACTGTACTACATGCTTTTGATAAACATGTTTTCTGTTAGACTTTAACCTTAAAAAAGTCAACTATCATCTATTTGAAGAACTTAAATCACTGCCATCTTGTAGCAGTAACCAGTATGGTAGATACAAAATTCAGGAGAAAAAAGAAGGCACTTCTAGTACTAGTATTTCTCAAATTGTGGTGCATAGACCACCCAGAGGGCTTTTAAAAAATGCAGTTTGGGCCAGGTGCCCTGTAATCCTGGGACTTTGGGAGGCCAAGGCGGCTAGATCACCTGAGGTAAATCAAAACAGCCTGGCCAGTACTTACTATGCAGTTTGGGCCAGGTGCCCTGTAATCCTGGTACTTTGGGAGGCCAAGGCGGCTAGATCACCTGAGGTCAGGAGTTCAAGACCAGCCTGGCCAACACGGTGAAACCCTGTCTCTACTAAAATACAAAAGTTAGCCGGGCATGATGGCACGTGCCTGTAATCTCAGCTACTAGGTAGGCTGAGACAGGAGAATCACTTGAGCCCAGGAGACGGTGGTTGCACTGAGCCAAGATCACGCCACTGCACTCCAGCCTGGGTGGCTGAATGTGACTCTGTCTCAAAAAAAACCAAAAAAAAGTAGTTTGTTGGACCCTAATCCAGACCAACACAATCAAAATCTCTAGAGGTAGCGCCTGAAAATTTTTATTTTTCATAAGCTCCTCCATAATTCTTGTGCACATTAGAGTTTGAGTCCATTTCCTAATGGACATATCTTGAAAATCCAGTGTAACATAGTGATAGTAAACATCACTGCTGTGACAAGGTTTCCGCAAAATGACAAAGATGGCAGAGACATATATTACTTTAAAAAGGCAGAAATATCACAAGTTTTTCTTTAACTGTGATCACCCATGATATCAGTAACAAAACTATCATTGCTTTGGCAAAACTTATGCGTGTAAGTTTTATTCTGTGGGGAGGTTCCCTTACCTCCTATTATCCTTCCAGTCTCCCACCTCAAGTTCCAAAGTGCCCTGGAAGTGACGAGTGTGCAAAACAGGCATCAGTCCACCAAGTGTATGGAGGTGTCCACACAAATAAGCTATAGCCGAACTAACCAGTGAAAAATAAATGAAATAAATGAACAAAGATAACTTGTGAGGCCAAACTAATAAAAATGTCTTGCCAGAAAAGCAGAATAGGTACAGCAAAATAAAAAACTAAAAACAAATGAATTCTGATTTTGGAAGCTTGTCTCACCTCATTATTGACCGGATTCCTGGTGATGGAGAAAGAATAGTGGATGTTGTAAAGTGTCCAAACCAAATTGTATGGTTGCTCCGACTACTTTCCTTGGCCAGTAATAAGAGCTCCTCCATCTTTTTCTGAAATGGGAGAAAAATGGAAGGATCTTAAATTAGGGCTCAGGCTAAAATCTAATGTCAACAGATTAGAAAACTCCTTTGAAGATGTATAATAATTATTATATGTGTCTAGACCTTAAACCTTACTAGTTAATGACCTCTATGGACCTCTGTAAGTTTCAAATGGTTTTCACATATATTTCATTTGATCCTAAAAATAACTCTGCAATAGGTAGGGAAGATATCTATTTTAATAGATAAGGAAATTGAGAAATAAAGAAGTCATCACTAATCTTTACAGCTTTGTATAACACATTACAATTAATAAAAAGGATACAGAAACTAAACTTCTAAAATAATATCATGGAAAGACTTCTACCTAAATGTTTATAACAGCTCTGATAATAGCCAAAAACTAGAAACCATCAACAAGTTGTAATACATCCACACGATGGAATACTACTCAGCAACAGAAAGGAAAGAACTAATGATACACACAATCATATGGATGGATCTTGGAAACATAATGAGCAAAAGAAGCCAGACCCAAGAGTACATAACGTATGATTTCATTTATACAAAATTTTAAAACAAACGAAATGAATCTATACTGATAGAAAACCAATCAGTGATTCCCTAGGAGGTGAAGACTGTGCAAGGAAGATAAGACTTTAGGATGATGGAAATGTTCTAGTCTTAACTGTAGTGACAGTTATACCAGTATATACATTTGTCAAAACTCTTCAAACACTTAAAATGAGGGTATTTTATAGTATTCAAATCATACCTCAAAAGTTGATTTCAAAAAATAACTGGTACATATGTAAATATGCATTAATATTATCTGTAAGGTGCTTACAGCAATACATTTCTGGGCTCTACCCTCAAGGTTTTTAATTTGGTAAGTCTGGGGCAAGACCAGGGAATCTGCATTTTGTAACACTCCAGTTGGTTTTCATGTACATGATCCTTGAATTCTACCTTAAAAAACACTATACGAAGGAATGGGATTTAATATAAGTTCATCAACCCTGACTAAAGACACTTGATAGATAGGAAACAAAACAGAACCCAATTAAATAAAATGCCTAAAGTAACGCAATGCATTTGACAATATTCTGTTCACTTGACTTCACATTCTTTCGAACTCTCGTCTAACTCTGAACCTCATAGTTCTAATTTAGCAAATTCTGCTCTTTATTATATTTATTTCTATACTGGTCTTATACCTTACCACTAGATTAAATACTCTAAGAGTCTAAGAACTTGATCTTATCACGTTTGTATTCTTTCATATGAGCACATATGTCTTACTTAGGGGCATATGCTTATTAAATAATGAGTTGGCATTTACTATACCAAGAAATAATAAGAGGTTCTCAAATGAGACTTTCCACAGTTTAAATTCAGCAATCACCTAGTCTTGTCAAAATACTTGAAAATAAACGTATTGATTTCAATAGTTGTCCTTCTCTTCTTAAAAAAATATAGACCAGCTGGGCACAGTGGCTCATGCCTGTAATCCCAGCACTTTGGGAGGCTGAGGCTGGTAGAACACTTGAGATCAGGAGTTCAAGACCACCCTGGCCAACATGGCGAAACCCCCTCTCTAGTAAAAATGCAAAAATTAGCTGGGCGTGGTGGCACATGCCTGTAATCCTAGCTACCTGGGAGGCTGAGGCAGGAGAACTGCTTGAGCCTGGGATGTGGAGGTTGTAGTGAGCTGAAATCACACCACTGTACTCCAGCCTGGGCGACAGAGCAAAACTTCGTCTCAAAAAAAAAAAACCCACTAGTTAGAACTGGCAATTGTGGGAACTTAGGAATATACCACACAAAGCTGTATGTCCTGCTCCTTGCTGGATGTCCAAAGTGCATCCTGTACTCAGTACCTATTTAATAAATGTTTACTCCATAAAGTGTGAGGTACTTCTTTCTCAGATTTTGGGACAAGAACAAGGATAGCAAAAATAGTGCTGAAATAGCCAGTAACTTCTAGCCATACCTGTAACCAAGTTAAATTTCTCTCAAGCACTCCTAGATAATAACTAGTTTACTTATGATAGCTTTAAGTGATCCACATGTATCCATGAAAAAATAAGTAAACTACAAAGGGAAGTAAGATTTTTACTACACCTTATCTAAAATTCCAAAGAAATTATAGGGTCTCTTAGGCCCTGGATTTATGGTGGCATCTACACAGATGAACGAATAGTTGCCAAAGGGAGTACTGTGGACATAATGGAAAGAGCCATCTCTACGTACAGCAGAATATTTCCTAAAAAATAGAAGACAGGAGGGTGTTAGTGTAATCATAAAAAGACAATACTTTAAAATTCCTTCCCGAATACACAAAATTGTACCTTCCTTTGAAAAAGAGATTTGCTGATCTGACAGAGAAGTATACTAAACTAGATCCACAATGGATAAACTGATGAAATTGTGAAGTTTTTCTCCCATCGTCCCCAAAGACTCATGCAAACTAATTCATCAATAACCAAACACAAGTTCACCAAGCAACGTTCAGAAGTAAGAGAGCTCTTTTAGGCAGTCCATTCAATATTCAAAAAGAAACAAATCAGAATAAAGTGGAACAGTATTTGTCAATCATTTGCAGATTTAGTCAGGGCCTACTAAGTACCTAGAAGAATTCTTGGTGTAGTGAGATACAAAAGCTGTTTACTTCTTGAAACAGGACTACAGAGGCTTAATTCACAAGCAAGACAAGACGAAGTCTTCAAGCAAGGAGAAAAATATTAGTCTAGGTCTGGGTTGTTAAATCTTTTTCAGTTCCTAAAGATACATTGATAACATACACAGGGTCTATATCCACTAATGAAAGTTTACCACCTTAAGTGTCAACAGCGTTCAGGTGTCCATAAAACTGCAGAGTGAAGACCAGGAAGAAAGGATGGGTAACACAGTACAGAGCACGCACTCATTAAGTATGTGTTGAATAAATAAGAAGGAAAGTATAGATTTTATTGGGGGGCATACCTATATTATTCAAATGTCAGAACATTATAAGGAAAGTTGGTATTATCTTTAATCTAAGTGTCTTACATGATTTTTACCTAACAGCATATATTTAAAAATACAAATAAACTCCTGAAATTTAATATGCTAGTGGGCCACAAAAGCCATCATGTATAATGTAACCCGAGTAAATATATTATACAGAAATTACAACTAATACTCAGAAATTAGTCAAACCCAATTTAAACAATGTCAATTAGTTCTATTGCCTTTCTTCTTGGTATTTTTAAAATTTCTATTTCAGGGCCAGGTATGGTGGCTCACGCCTATAATCCCAGCACTTTGGGAGGCCACGGCAGGCGGATCATGAAGTCAGGAGATTGAGACCATCCTGGCTAACACGGTGAAACCCCGTCTCTACTAAAAATACAAAAAAATTAGCCAGGCATGGTGGTGGGCGCCTGTAGTCCCAGCTACTCGGGAGGCTGAGGCAGGAGAATGGCGTGAACCCGGGAGGCAGAGCTTGCAGTGAGCTGAGATCACGCCACTGCACTCCAGTCTGGGCAACAAAGTGAAACTCCATCTCACAAAAAAAAGAAAAAAAGTTCTGTTTCAGGGTTTTAGTCTAAATTAAAATTTTTACTTATATTTTTTCTTATTTTATGTTCAGTTATTCCTCAGAATCTTATAATCTTACATATGTTGTTTCCTTTCCTGCATTTTTGATACATTAAAATCCAACTGTCTAAAAATAAATCCAACTATTTGAAAACACAAGTTAAAATATATGATGCTAACATAATATGGGATTTTGGCATTCTCTGGGGCTTATTTTATTTTTTTGAGACAGGGTCTGACTCTGTCACCCAGGCTAGAGAGCAGTGGCATGATCTTGGCTCACTGCAATCTCAGCCTTCTGGGCTCAAGCGATCCTCCCATCTCAGCCTCCTGAGTAGCTGGGACTAAAGGTGCACACCACCATGCCCAGCTAATTTTTGTATTTTTGTAGAGATGGGGTTTCACCATATTGCCCAGGCTGGTCTCGAACTCCTGGACTCAAGTGTGCACCTGCCTTAGCCTCCCAAAGTGCTAGCATTACAGGCATGAACCACTGCATCCAGCCTCTTTGGGACTTCTTTTTTTTTTTTTTTTTTTTTTTTTGAGACAGTGTCTCGCTCTGTCGCCCAGGCTGGAGTGCAGTGGCGTGATCTCGCCTCACAGAAAGCTCTGCCTCCTCTCTGGGACATTTTTAAGATCAAGATTTAACTTTAATTTTTTTTCTTCAGACTGATATTTCTGTAATATTTACATTTTTAGTAAAATGCCATTTATTAAATTCAGATAAAGTTTAGGTGGCTAAAAACAAAAATACAAAGGTAAGAAACTTTAAAGTGACTATTCACTTTACTTTCCAAATAACCACTCAGCCCCAATTCCTGTTAATTATTTCTGAAAATGTCTCCTAACTGCCCATAATCACCATCAAAGATACAAACAGTTAACAGGAAGTGAAAGATTTTCATCTCTGTCCTTTTCCTTTCTCACATTAACAAAAGAGAACAACCTCCTCTTCCAATGTATGGTGACTCTTAATTATACAAACTCAGTTAACCAGTGCTTTTTGACCTATCATCCTCAAATTGATGTCACCATCTCCATATCCAGGAACTTAGTTCAGATGGGTATGTCTCTTCATATCACAACTGGACTATTGCAGGACCCTCCTATTTAGTCCACATAACTCCAATATCTTTTTTCCTTTTTACCCCATCTTTTTCCTTTTTCATTGTGGGATTGCCCTTTATAAAACACTATTTTAATTATGTTACTTGCCTCCTTAAGAACCTATGCTGAATTACCAACTATTACCCATCACATCTCAATTTCTATGCTTGTTACTTAAGACCTACATAAATTAGCCCTAAGCTACCTATCCAGTGTCATACCAGTCCTCAGTATGGATGTTAATTCTGGTGATACCAGTTTCCTTACTGCCCCAGCAAAGTTCAGTTTTTGGTTTCCCAGTGCATAGCTTTTAAAGATCTATTCATACCTATTCTTTTGCCTAAAATATCCTCCTTGGCATGTCTTACTTCTTCAAATGCTACTCATTTTTTAAGACTGGACACACTTTTTGCTTCTTTTATAAAGTCTTCTCTATGTCCACCCACGCTTTTCTGATTTCTCATAGTGATTATCATGTGTACCAAATAATTTAGCATTTCATCAGCCATTCCTTCATGTTCTTTTCTAATTGTTTCCTAAATAATTCTGATGTCCCTTAACTACACTATCAGTTCCTTGAAGGCAAAAGCCAAATTTTTAACATTAGCTCATGTATCTCTCACACTATCCAGCTAGGGATGGACTCTCAATAAATATTTGCTACATGATTGATTGACAATGCAGAACAAAGCTACTGAATATCCTGAGGCTGAAAAGTGAACTGCAACCAAAAGAGGAATCTAAACATAATGAAACTAGAGAATTGGTTTCTAATTCAGAGATCCCTTGCCTTTTCACATTCACGACAAATAACGATTATTTTAATATTTATATGACACAGGATGAAAAGATAAAGCAGCCAGGTGACTAACTGGGCTCTCCAGCCACCACAGAGGCCAGGAAAATCAGTATCTCAGGATTCTGAAAACCCAGTGACCTCAGCAGTGTGGCTGACACGCTCTGATATAAATGACTTTTCCTATGTATCAATGACTTAAAAAATTGTTTAAGCCCATGTGGAATATTAAAAGTACCATTAGCCAAAACAAAGCATTAAACTACATGCATACTTCAGAGGTATTGTGGTTCCTGACCACCACAATAAAGCAAATATTGCAAAAAAGCGAGTCACATGAATTTTTGGTTTCCTAGTGTGTATGAAAGTTATGTTTACGGCTGGGCGCAGTGGCTTATGCCTGTAATCCCAGGACTTTGGGAGGCCGAGGCAGGCAGATCACTTCAGGTCAGGAGTTTGAGACCAGCCTGGCCAACATGGCAAAACCCTGTCTCTACTAAAAATACAAAAATTAGCCAGGCATGTTGGTACATGCCTGTAGTCCCAGCTACTCAGGAGGCTGAGTCAGGAGACTCGCTTGAACCAGGGAGATGGAGGTTGCATTGAGCCAAGATGGTGCCACTATACTCCAGCCTGGGCAACAGAGCAAGATCCTGTCTCAAAAAAGAAAAAGTTATGTTTACACCATACTATAGTCTATTAAGTGTACAATTGCTTCATGTCCAACAAAACAATGCACATATCTTAATTTATAAATACTTCTACTGACTGGGCATGGTGGCTCACGCCTGTTCTCCTAGCACTTTGGGAGGTTGAGGTGAGTGGATCACTTGAGCCCAGGAGTTCGAGACTAGCCTGGGCAACACATTGAAACCCTGTCTCTATAAAAAAATACAATAATTAGCCAGGCATGGTGGCTCATGTCTGTGGTCCCAACTACCCGAGAGGCTGAGGTGAGAGGACCACTTTGAGCCTGGGAGGTGGAGGTTGCAGTGAGCTGAGATCGCGCTATCGCACTCCAGCCTGGGTGACAGAGTGAGACCCTGTCTCAGGGGAAAAAAAAAAAAACTTTACTGCCAAAAATGCTAATGATCATCTGGGCCTTCAGTGAGTCAAATCTTTTTACTGATAGAGGGTCCTGTTTTGATGTTAGTGGCTGCTGGCTGATCAGGGTGGTGGTTGGGGTGGCTGGGGTAATTTCTTAAAATAAGGCAACCATGAAGTTTGCTACATCAATTGACTTTTCCTTTCACAAGAATTTCTCTGTAGCATACAATGCTGCTTGATAGCATTTTACCCAAAGAAATCCAATCCTCTCCAACACTGTCATTGCTTTATCAACTAAATTTATGTATAATTCTAAATCCTTCGTTGTCATTTCAAAAATGTTCACACCATAGTTACCAGGAGTAGTTTCCTTCTCAAGAAACCATGTTTTCTGCTCATCCATAAGAAGCAACTTGCCATCTGTTCAAATTTTATCCTAAGATTGCAGCAATTTAGTCACCTCTTCAGGCTCCACTTCTAATCCTAGTTCTCCTGCTATTTCCACATTTGCAGTTACTTCCTCCACTGAAGTCTTGAACCCCTCAAAATTATCCATGGGGGTTGGAATCAACTTCTTCCAAACTCCTGTTTATGTTATTTTAACCTCCTCCAATTAATTGCAACTGTTCTTAATGGCATCTAGAATGGTGAATCCTTTCCATAAATTTTTCAATCGACTGCCCACATCCATCAGAAGAAGAATCATAATCTAAGGCAGCTATAGTCTTATGAAATGTGTTTCTTAAATAGTAAGAGTTGGAAGTTGAAATTACTTCTTGATCCATTGGCTACAGGATGAATACTGCGCTAGCAGGCATGAAAGTAACATTCATCTCCTTGTACAACTTCCTCAGAGCTCTTGGGTGACCAGGTGCATTGTCAATGACCATTGATACTTTGAAAGGAATATCTTTTTCTGAGCAGTAGTTCTCAACAGTGGACTTCAAATATTCAGTAAACCACGCTGTAAACAGATGTGCTATTATTATCCAGGCTTTGTTGTTCCATATATGGAACACAGGCAGAGTAGATTTAGCATAATGCTGAAGCACCCAAGGATTTTCAGAATGGTAAATAGGCATTGGCTCCACTTAAAGTCATTGGCTTTGGAGCAGGAACCCACGTCCAGGAACAGAGCCCTTTGCTCCTCCCTCAGAATGAATGGAGACCAGAAATCAGACATTTCTGTCCAAGAAAATCAGGATTTCATTCAGTGCTTCTCCCAGATTGTTAGGGTGCTGACTGAGGATGAGATGGGGCACCCAGATACAGGAGATGCTATCACCCAGCTCAAGGAGGTCCTGTAGCACAATGGCATTGGAGGCAAGTATCACTGGGCTTTGACAGTGCTAGTACTATTCTTGGAGCTGGTGGAGCTGAGGAAACAGGATGCTGAGAGTCTCCAGCAGGCCCTGACTGTGGGCTGGTGTGTGGAACTGCTGCAAGCTTTCTTCCTGGTGGCAGATGACATCACGGATTCATCCCTCACCCGCCGGGGACAGATCTGCTGGTATCAGAAGCCGGGCGTGGGTATGGACGCCATCAATGATGCTACATCAATGATGCTATGCTTCTGGAAGGGAAGCATGTATGTACCACCTGCTGAAGCTCTATTGCAGGGAGCAGCCCTATTACCTGAACCTGATCCAGCTCTTCCTGCAGAGTTTCTATCAGACTGAGATTGGGCAGCCCCCCAGGGCAATGCAGATCTTGGCAGATTCACTGAAAAGAGGTACAAATCTAGTGTCAAGTACAAGGCAGCTTTCTACTCCTTCTGCCTTCCTGTAGCTGCAGCCATGTACATGGCAGGCATTGATGGTGAGAAGGAGCACACCAATGCCAAGAAGATCCTGCTGGACATGGGAGAGGGAGAGTTCTTTCAGATTCAGGATGATTACCTTGACCTCTTTTGGGGACCCCAGTGTGACCGGCAAAGTTGGCACTGACAAACAGGACAACAAATGCAGCTGGCTGGTGGTTCAGTGTCTGCAACGGGCCACTCCGGAACAGTAGCAGATCCTGAAGGAGAATTATGGGCAGAAGGAGGCCGAGAAGGTGGCCCTGGTGAAGACTGTATGAGGAGCCGGATCTGCCGGCCGTGTTCTTGCAATACTAGGAAGACAGTTACAGCCACATTATGGGTCTCACTGAACAGGACGCAGTGCCCCTGCCCCCAGTCATCTTTCTAAGGCTGACGTGCAACATCTACAAGCGGAAAAGTGACCTAGAGACTGCAAGGGCGGGGAGAGGAGGCCCTCAATAAATAAATTATTGTGTAACTTTCTTAAAAAAAAAAAAGCCATCAACTGCATGGACCCCTAGCAACAGTCAGCCTGTCCTTTGAAGCCAGGGATTGACTTCTCTCTAGCTATGAAAGTCCTAGATGGCATCTTCTTCCAAAAGAAGGCTGTTTCACTTACACGGAAAATCTGTTGTTTAGTGCAGCCACCTTCATCAATTATCTTAGCTAGATCTTCTGGGTCACTTGCTGCAGCTTCTCCAATCAGCACTTGCTGCGTCACACTGCATGTTTATGTTATAGAGTCAACTTCTCTCCTCAGACCTCATGAAGCAACCTCTGCCAGCTTCCCGCTTTTCTTCTGCAGCTTCCTCACCTCTCTCAGTCTTCACAGAATTGAAGGGAGTTAGCATCTTGCTCTGGATTAGGCTTTGGCTTAAGTGAATGCTGTAGATGCTTTGATCATCTATTCAGAACACTAAAACTTTCTCCACATCAGCAGTAGGACTGTTTCACTTTCTAATAATTCATCTGTTCACTGGAGCAGCACTTTCCATTTCCTTCAAGAACTTCTCCTTCGCATTCACAACTTGGCTCACTGCTCCAGCGCAAGAGGCCTAGCTTTCAGCCTACCTGATAGCCTTTCAACAGCCTTTCTCACCAAGCTTCATCATTTCTACCTTTTGATTTAAAGTGAGAGATGTTGGGCCCTTCCTTTCACTTGAACACTTAGAGGCCATTGTAGGGTTATTGACTGGCCTAATTTTAATATTGTTGTCTCTCAGGGAATAGGGAGGCCAGAGGTGAGGGAGAGAGATAGGAGAACAGCTGGCTGGTGGAGCACTGAGAACACATACAGCATTTATTGATTAAGTTCCTGGACTTATATGGGCAAGGTTTGTAGCACCCCAAAACAATTACAATAGTAACATCAAAGGTCACTGATCGCAGATCACCATAACAGATACAATGAAAAAGTCTGAAATATTGTGAGAATTACCAAAATGAGACACAGAGACACAAAGTGAGCATGTGCTATTGGAAAAATGGCTCTCATAGACTTGCTCAAGGCAGGCTTGCCACAAACTTTCAATTTGTAAAAAACGCAACATCTGCAAAGTGCAATAAGGCGAAGCACAATAAAAGGAGGCATGCCTGTATATGAAACAGAAAGAATTAAAGAAAAGAAAAAGTCTAAACAAAAAGAAATGCATCTGTCACAAGAAGACAAAAAGGCTCATTTTTTTAATTACCAGAGATTCTTTATAGAAAAACTTTTTCTGTTAAAAAATGTTTTCAGCTAGGCACAGTAGCATGTGCCTGCAGCCCCAGCTACACAGGAGTCTGAGGCAGGAGGATCGTTTGAGCTCAGGAGTTCAGGGCTAGCCTGGGCAAAATAGTTAGACTCCTGCCTCTTAAAAAATTTTTTAAGTTTTCTCTCATTCATTGAATTGACCACACCCTCCTTATAACACTGACTCTACACAGTGGTCTGTCTTCTGTTTATTACAGTACCTGTAATAATTCTTGACGCTGTCCAGACTTGGAATATTGAATGCATCTAATTAAAAAAAAAAAAAAAGCAAACATTCATCCACATTAAAAAAAGAATACAAACATGTTCTTTAATGACTAAGGGAAAATAGTTCTTTCTATAACAATTCCCCCACACACTCCCCCAGGGTAGAGCCATTCCATTTATTATTCAGCAAATAGCGGGAGGACCAGGAGAGGGGCCCATCCTAGACAACCTCCCATTATTGCAATGGGTTTCAGTTTGCTTCCCCAAACTAGAAATGTTTAGCCTAGGCAAAGGGTAGACTCAGAACAAAGTCCAGACGGCCCTGGCCCTACCACAGCTCATGAACTCCCACCATGGTCCATCTCTCTAGGGCCACTGAGCCTCTCTTAGAACCAGTATGGCTAGACTCTGGGTTGCTGGGTCCAATCCAAGCAGGCTGGGCTCCAAGTTCTAGACCCTAGGCTGGCTAAAACCCTGGAATCTTGATTCCAGGATGTGGGTGGGATGGACTTAGGTCCCAAGCTCCAGGCTAAGCCAGTGGCCTTCAGGGCTGCAGCAGGTAGCTGCCTTCACGGCTAGGCTTCTTGGGTAGTGGTGCTTTTTCAGGATAGGAGCCAGGGCTGGAGTTGGGTCTAAATCTGTAGAAACAGTCAATATTGGCAGAGCAAGAGTGGTAGGCCTGGCAGAGAATGACTTGGAGCAGAAGCAGCAAGAAGCCTATGAGGTGTTGCAGATGATGGCAATGAGCACCCCCTGGGAAACGGCTGCCCCCATGACAGGCAGCCCACCCTCAGACCAGCACAGACAGTAGAGCTGCCTCAATGGCAAGGCCTATGCCAAGGCGGGACTCTGGTATGAGCAGCCTTCCATGGAGGCTGTCCTGTCTACACACTCAATGATTCCCGGGCAGTGGAGATGTCCACCTGCAGTCTTAAGCCAAAGTACAGCCCGGTGCACATCTGTGGGAGGGTTGGGACAATGGGATATTCAGATTTAACTGAGGCTCCAGCAGGGGCTACTGGCCCTCCCCAAGCTCTCTGCCTCTGCTGGCACAGACTGAGCTAGCCACAGCGTGACTGTAGCAGCCTCTGTCATCTTTCTATAACACTTTTAATGGTAGAATGTCAATCAGTTAGATTGATACTTTAAAATGTTGATATCTTAACAAAATTCAGATTATCTAGAAACTTATTTATTTAAGGCATTTAGTATACTAGAGAAAAACAGGTACTTTGACTTCTATACCATTCAGAATAAATAAGTTTGATATTATAAGATTGAACTGTAGTTGCTCTTGTCTTAATCATGTGATTCTAAAAGCCAGCAAGAAGTGGATTCATGCCTGATCTACTGATCAAATTAAGTAGACAAATGAAGTACTTAGCTAATAAAAAAGTCAACCTTTATAAATCAAACAAATCTACTACCACCAGGACTCTTTTAGAGAAGAGTTCATTTCCTTACCAACACAACAATAATCTAAAAAAGGGACAGGATTATTCATTTCCCTGTTCATGCCTATGGAGATTTGTTTGCAATTTAAAATTTTTAGGCTAGGTGCAGTGACTCATACCTGTAATCCCAGCACTTTGGGAGAATGAGGTGGGAGGATCGCTTGAGCCCAGGAGTTTGCAATCAGCCTGAGCAACATAGCAAGATCCCAACTCCACAAAAAAAAAAAACCTTCAAAAATTAGCTGGGTGTGGTGATGCATGCTTATAGTCCCAGCTACTTGGGGGTGCTGAGGTAGGAGGATCATTTAAGCTCAGGTCAAGGCTGCGGTGAGCTATACTCACACCACTGCACTCTAGGCTAAGTGACAGAGCAAGACTCTGTCAAAAAAATAATAATAAAGCGGGTGTGGTGGCTCACGCCTATAATCCCACCACTTTAGGAGGCTGAGGCAGGCAGATCATTTGAGGTCAGGAGTTTGAGACCAGCCTGGCCAATGTGGTGAAACTCCGCCTCTACTAAAAATACCCCCCCCCCAAAAAAAATTAACTGGGCAGGATGGTACCTGTCTGTAATCCCAGCTACTCAGGAGGTTAGGGCAGGAGAATTGCTTGAATTCAGGAGACAAAGATTGCAGTGAGCTGAGACTGCACTATTGTACTCCAGCCTGGGTGATAGAGTGAGACTCTGTCTCACAAAATAATGATAATAAGAACAGTCATAGTAAATTTTAAAAAGAAAAAATAAAAAGCAAAATTTTTTAAATTTGCACACAGGAAAATTCATTCTTTTCTGTGACTTACAGTTCTATGGATTTTGACAAATACATAGCGAACCTGACATCCACCACAACAACCAAAATACAGATTAGTTCCATCACCACCAAAAATTCTCCATGATGCCTGTTTGCAGTTAATCTGTCTCCCAATCCCTATCCTCTGGTAACTACAATCTGTTCTCTGTCTATTGTTTTGCCTTTTCTTGAATGTCATATAAATGAAATCATACAGTATGCAGACTTATGGGTTTGGCTTCTTTCACTTAGCAAAATGTATATTTATTAAAACATCTGCCTGCATGAGTTTTGCTAAAACTCATGTTTCTTCTATGTAAAGAAGAAAGGACTTGGGGGTGGGGGGCAGGGGGAGGGATAGCACTAATGTAGATGACAGGTTGATGGATGCAGCAAACCACCATGGTACGTGTATACCTATGTAACAAACCTGCATGTTCTGCACATGTATCCCAGAACTTAAAGTATAGTAATAATAATAATAAAAAAAAAGCAGCATATGTCACAAAAAAGGAACATACCAATTGTTATCTCAAAGGCTAACAATGACATCTGAAGTTTTAAAACCACATTATATAGTTGTATTTCACAGTTGTGACCTTTAAGTATATGTAAACCTATGTTATAATGTCCCACTTAATAATTTTACAATCTAAGTTGGAAAATCTAGGTTCCTGAAGGGGGAAAAAAACTCTAGTCTTTATTATATCTGGCTCTTGGGTCTCACCATGATTTCCTTTGATATCCAGCCACTTGGTTTTTTCCATGACTCTTGTCTTCTTCAGAATACCCTGGTAGGTTTGCCATTCTACCTCATGCTGCCTGGATCCCAACTGTTCCTTTGTTTTGGCATCTGTCAGGTCTCCTGTAGGTTTACACAAGAATTGAATCACAATGCAAAACAAACTCCTAGGGGTTCCATTTTTTTAGATATGCACACTGAAGGAACAACGATACTTAAAGTACTCAACATGTATAAGCAAAACTGCTCATGAGACCACCAATGTCCAATCAAGCCATCTAAACTAACAAGATTTTCTCAGCAAGGGCTTTGTTCCTTATACGTTAGCAAATGCCTGTGTGATATTAGAAATGAGTTGTGAAAAAAATCCTTAAAGAGAACAATACAAAATGCATCAGTAGACTCTGATAAAATGAAAATGTTTTTATAAGAAATTCCCCCAGGCCGGGCGCGGTGGCTCAAGCCTGTAATCCCAGCACTTTGGGAGGCCGAGGCGGGCGGATCACGAGGTCAGGAGATCGAGACCATCCTGGCTAACACGGTGAAACCCCGTCTCTACTAAAAATACAAAAAACTAGCCGGGCGCGGTGGCGGGCGCCTGTAGTCCCAGCTACTCGGGAGGCTGAGGCAGGAGAATGGCGTAAACCCGGGAGGCGGAGCTTGCAGTGAGCTGAGATCCGGCCACTGCACTCCAGCCTGGGTGACAGAGCAAGACTCCGTCTCAAAAAAAAAAAAAAAAAAAAAGAAATTCCAATACTCTGAGTGGGTACCTAATATCTACGGCAACCATGTTTTCCAAACCACAAAATCAGAATATGTGACTTGACCAAGTATTAGTTTTATAGCAAGAAGCAATGTGGCAGGTGCAACTGGACAACAAAATATCAAAATTTATAGGGAACTAAACAGAACACTTTTTATAGGGGTTCATCCATTAAATGAGAACTGATACCCTTTCATGTCAGCAGAGATACTTCAATAAGGTGGATGGGTGATGAATTCCCCAGTAAGCAAGACAGATAGATGCTCCTTTAGCTTCTTCTCCGCACTACAGTTTGGAAGCAAATAAAGGGTTTGAAGAGTCTACAAAACTCAAGTCATAAAACTATTAAAGGATGAAGAAAAAGTGCCCTGGGTCACCGGAAGCCTCAAACAACTGAAAATATAAGATTAATAATATAAAGAAAATTGAAAAGTGAGCAAAAGAAGAGAACTTCTGATTCGTGGTTACAGGCTTTTCCCTAATTCTCACAACCACAACTGTAACAACAAGAACAGAAACCAGATACAAATATATGAGACAAAAGACTGACATGAGAACTAGGAGCCTTGCTTTTACTGCTTTGACAAAACCTTGCTACTTCAAATCATTTTGCCTGGATCTTGACTCATTCAGTTATCTATAGGCAAAGGGGTTAGCATGTCCAATCTCTTCCACCTCACAGGGCTCATCTGGGGCTATGGCTATACTGCTCCCAACGTCCCCAAAGTGAAAAGCCACAGCCCTGGCTAGAGTTCTACCATCCGGACCACAGAACACCACCACAGCACGGCAAGCCTCCCTACCTGTTGCTAGGACGAGAGCTGGTTGAATGATGTCAATAGTTTCAGAACAGAATTTCTCTAAGTCTACCGCTCTGCCTGGATCTCGAAACCTGCTCAGGTGAATGTCGGATATCTGCCGAAAACAGGTATTGAACAGAGAGATCTGAGCCGGGAAGAGGCAGCATGGGGAGCGGCGGCTCAGCGGCTCTCGCGGGCAGAAGGAAAAGACAAAGAGGCAGTGCATAACGAACCCCCCAGGTAGGGACAGGGCCAGCACTAGACAGAGCCTCGAGTTACAACCTGAGTGAGGCCCGCAGCCTGGAGCTTGGGGCCCAGCACCCGCCAGGGTCTCACCCCACGGTGCCCGCTCTGCACCCGCCTCCCGGCCCGGCTTCCCGCCGCTTCACCTGCAGGCCCCAGAAGATGTTGCTGTCTCCAGGACCTGGCGCGGGGTGCGGCCTCCTGGGGGGCGCGGGGTGCGGCAGCGGCGAGGGTTGGCCCGCCAGGCCGTAGTGCTCCAAGAGCATGGCCACCAGCGCTGCGGCCGCCAACCCCGCGACCACCCCGAGAGCCAGCACTGCAGCCATGCCGCCCGCCCGCCAGTCCGCCGGGGAGCGGCCCTCGCTGATCCCGCGCGGGACCGCGCGGCGCTCCCGGGAGCCGCTTTGCCTGCACTTCCGGACTCTCTTGTCGCGGGGCCAGAGCCGGATGCGGGGCCGAGCCGGATGCGGGGCTGGAGCCAGACACCGGGCCTAGGGTGCTGCGCCGGTCAGCCGCCTGCCGGCATCTGTGCCTCTCTGGCAGCTCAAGTGTCTGGGCTCGTTTTGCGTAAGTAATGCGATCAAAGAAAAGGGAACCGAAACTCTGAACACCAATGACGGTGGCCGAGTGGTGGCGGGCAAGGAGACCGGGACCAGTGGCCAGGAGGCCAGGGCTAGAGTCCTGGCTCCGCCTTGGTCATTCACTCCTGACCTCAGCGGGTCGATCTCCTTACCTGTAAAACAGAGTTAATAACACCTTCCGTGCGCACTTTGCAGGGTTGTTGTATCAAAGTGAGAATGTATGAGGACGCCTTTCACATTGTCTCACAAATGTGTCAGGTGGCTTCCTCTGGCCCCTTCTGATTATTAACGTGCCTCCATAGGTTTTCTTTTCTTTCCCTTCCCCTTCCCGCTGCCGTTCCCCTTTCCTTCACTTCTCAGACAGGATCTCACTCTGTCCCCCAGGCAGGAATGCAGTGGCGCGATCACGGCTCACTGCAGCCTTGACCTCCCTGGCCTCAAGTAGCTGGAACTACAGGTTCGCACCATCACGCCCAGCTAATTTTTTAAATATAGTTTTTGTAGAGACTAGGGTCTCTGTGTTGCCCAAGCTGGCCTCGGAACTCCTGGGTTCAAGCGATCCTCCCGCCTCGCAAAGTGCTGGGACCACCGCTCCCGGCAGCATAGGTTTTCTATAGATGTTAATTCCTATGTTTTGTGAAAGTTATTTTTCCCTTAACCTGATTTCACATGCAACTGATTAACTAATATTGCAACACGGTGGTATACTATTCATTTAATAAATATTAAATACTTCCTATGGGCAAGGCCCAGGAGAATTAGATTCAGCCCTACCTTAACTTATCTAACCACTCCCTTATTGTTGATTTTTGAATTGTTTATTATATATTGGTGTTCTGAGTAATTTATTTTCACATCTGCCTTCCTTTTATTGAAAAAAATTTTAGACAATGGCAGTTAATAAAAGGCACAAACAAATCAACAGGGATATACTAGTGGAAAACACAATATAAAACTAAAATGTCATTGGTTTCTTTAATTGGTTAGGAGCACAAAATGTAACAGGCAGAAGGTCTGTTTCAAACAAATTAAAAAGCCATGTGTATTTTAAATTCTCCCCAAATCAGATATATACACACCCACAAAAATAGTGTGTGAAGGAAAGCTATCACACACGAGAAGTCGTATACTGAATTCTTCAAGGAAACACATGTGGAAATAGGAATTAACAAAGTCAGCAACAGATGAATATATTTTTTAATTGAGTCTTAAAATGTTACATGACCCAAAACTATACTATATAAAGTACTGCTAGGTACAAAGGAAAAGTCTGTACAGCTTTTAGCAAAACTGCTTTCCCAGAAAAGCAAATTAAAATAATGCAATCAGCAGACCAAGGAGACTACAGCTAGACATCAGAGCTACAACTTCTCATATCTGTGTCAGAAAATCCTATTTATCCAGAATAGACTAAAATTTTGGGACAAAACAGGAACTTTTTAACTTTTTTTTACTTTATCCATTTTGAGTTATTTTTATCTCCCCCACCTCCCAAACCAGTAATTCAGCAAGATCCAGCAGAAAGAGGGCTACTTTTAGAATTAGCTATTTTATTTTTCTTTCTATGGCGAGACTGTCATGGAGCTTGGATATTTCAGGATCATATACATCCATGACCAGTGTCCCACTGTGGTCAAAAAACTTTATCAGGCCTCTGAGCCCAAGCTAAGCCATCATATGCCCTGTGTCCTGCATGTATACATCCAGATGGTCTGAAGCAACTGAAGATCCACAAAAGAAGTGAAAATAGTTTTAACTGATGACATTCCACCATTGTGATTTGTTTCTGCCCCACCCTAACTGATCAATGTACTTTGTAATCTCCCCCACCCTTAAGAAGGTTCTTTGGGCCGGGCGCGGTGGCTCAAGCCTGTAATCCCAGCACTTTGGGAGGCCGAGACGGGCGGATCACGAGGTCAGGAGATCGAGACCATCCTGGCTAACACGGTGAAACCCCGTCTCTACTAAAAATACAAAAAAAAAAAAACTAGCCGGGCGCGGTGGCGGGCGCCTGTAGTCCCAGCTACTCGGGAGGCTGAGGCAGGAGAATGGCGTAAACCCAGGAGGCGGAGCTTGCAGTGAGCTGAGATCCGGCCACTGCACTCCAGCCTGGGCGACACAGCGAGACTCCATCTCAAAAAAAAAAAAAAAAAAAAGGTTCTTTGTAATTCTGCGCACCCTTGAGAATGTACTTTGTGAGATCCACCCCCTGCCTGCAAAACATTGCTCCTAACTCCACCGCCTATCCCAAAACCTAGAAGAACTAATGATAATCCCACCAACCTTTGCTGACTCTCTTTTCAAACTCAGCCCGCCTGCACCCAGGTGAAATAAACAGCCTTGTTGCTCACACAAAGCCTGTTTGGTGGTCTCTTCACATGGACATGCATGACAAACTTAGCAATGGGGACTTGGTAAACTCGACTTCCTGCTGCTGCTTTGTTCTCCCCTTGGTGAAGGTCAGCTTCAAGGTGTATTTGTCATCAGACCTTTTAAGACTGGAGGACAGTTGCCAAATACCATCAGGATCCATTCCTGTAGGATCTTTCCTGTGGGTCACGACAAAGATGCTCCTCTCCTTTTATGAGGTATAAATGGTCAGAATCCAGATCATCACAAAATAGGATATGACGCACAAAACGAAAACAGGTTTGGACTCTGGAAAGGGGTGCATATAATCCCAAATCAAAGCCACTATGGCAAAAAAACAGGAGATTGTACAGATGGTGAGGCGACCATCAATTAGACCAAAATTCTCCACATATTTGTATTTTTCCAGAAGTAACTTTTTGGCAGAATCATCCAAAGAGGTTTTCACAGCTAATCCATCGCACTTGTCAATTTTTACAGGCTTATCATCTATCTTCCACTTATCCAACAAGCCGCTATGGCCACTGCCTGTCCCGCACCTGGAACCACCGCCAGCCCCACTACTGCCTCCACTACCACCACTTCTCCCACCCTGTGCAGCTGCTGCTGCCAACTTACCCACTTCTGCCTGTTCTGAGTAAAGATATGTATTTTTGGGGGAGGATGGAGTCTCTCTCTACCACCTAGGCTGGAGTGCAGTGGCGCGATCTCGGCTCACTGCAAGCTCTGCCTCCCGAGTTCATGCCATTCTTCTGTCTCAGCCTCCCCCAGCAGCTGGGATTACAGGCAACTCACCATCACGCCTGGCTAATTTTTTGTATTTTTAATAGAGACAGGATTTCACTGTGTTAGCCAGGATGGTCTTGATCTCCTGACCTCATGATCCTCCCGCCTCGGCCTCCCAAAAGTGCTGGAATAACAGGCGTGAGCCACCGCGCCTGGCTGAGCAAATATTTTTACACAAATAGTGCTCTTAAAAAAAAAACTTCTCTTGAGTTTTTTCCTTGGGATATGTTGTCAGTATTGGATTTATGCCAATTTCAATTAAATTGAATTTTCAATTTAAAATTTTCAATTAAATTTTGAGTACCTTTGGAATACAATACATTGATCTAAGCAGAAAACATAAAGAAACATAAAGATAAGTAGGCAAAGAGCTATGGTTCATTATCTAAGGAGTTTATGTAAGAGAGAGACATACATACAGAAGTTTAATATGTGAAGATATGCTTTTTGCCACAAGAGATGAACAGATATAAAAGGCAGAGGGAAGGTTAAAACTAGGAGAGAGAAGCTGGGCATGGTGGCTCACGCCTGTAATCCCACCACTGGGAGGCAGAGGCGGGCAGATCACGAGGTCAGGAGATCGAGACCATCCTGGCTAACATAGTGAAAGCCCGTCTCTACTAAAACTGCAAAAAATTAGCCAGGCATGGTGGCACGCATCTGTAGTCCCAGCTACTTGGGAGGCTGATGCAGGAGAGTCACTTGAACCTGGGAGGCGGAGGTTGCAGTGAGCCGAGATCAGGCCACTGCACTCCAGCCTGGGTGACAGAGCGAGATTCCATCTCAAACAACAACAACAACAAAAACTAGCAGAGAGTACATCTTTGGAAAGAATCAAGAAAAGTTTAATTATGGATGTCGCATATAAAGGATGGGTAATATTTCTTGACTGGCAGAGATTGAGGTTGGGGTGGGTAAAAGCACTTTCCTAACAACACGAACCAAAGCATTAAGATGAGAAAATGCAGGGCATGTTGCAGGGACAGTGAATGTTTCAGTTTGCCAGCCTACACCAAGAGGAATAATGGTAATTAGACCAGACCTTTGGCTTGAGGCACATTGAGGAAGGCCTCTGTAAATGCCAAGAGGGAAGACAACAGAGTTCTGCTTTGGTGACATGGATCTGGCAACAGCATAGAGAACTGACTGTCCAGAGGACAGGTGTGAGAGAGAATCCTGTTGGAAGGAGATTGCAATAATCCAGGTAGTGGAGTAATTACAAAGACCTGAAGAAGAAAGATGGGAGAATACGACCTTGAGATTAGAAAGGAGTGATCAAATGTAACAACAATATTTTTTAAAAATAAAAACTATAGAACATGGCACCTGATTGGATATTCAATGGAAGAAAATAAGAGTTTTTTTTTTAAATAGTGCCAAAATGTGGAACATAGTGACTGAGGGACCAGGGCTATAATGTATGAATGGAGAGCATTACCCATATCAATAAAATAAAATTTTGATTTTGGTTTTATCTAATACTACACCACTAGAAAATATGTGGAAGGATATTTTAAAACCAAATTTGGGAGACATGACTAAGATGATCTAATTTAAAACCCAAGCAATGTGGCATACATAAAATGCATTTGCAGAGACCTTAGAGTATTGGGGGAACCCGCTCCCAATATTTCAGCGTAGGTTCTTTCTATTTTCCATAAATGTCAGCTGGCTGAGAAATAAAGAAAAAGAGTGCAAAGAGAGGAATTTTATAGCTGAGCCACTGGGGGTGACATCACATAGCAGTAGGACTGTGATGCCCACCTGAGCCTCAAAAGCAAGTTTTTTATTAAGGGTTTCAAAAGGGGAGGTGTGTAAGAACAGGGAGTAGGTACAAAGATCACAGGCTTCAAAGGGCAAAAAGCAGAACT